CAAACTGGTAAGGTCCCTAGTTGCCTAGCAATTAGCAAGATGATAGCAAATTCCGTTCCTGCCACTATGTAGGTTGTGGAAAAAGTCTCAATGGGAATCCCATCACTAAATCATCCAACGAGGCTTTTTACCCTAGACTTCTGCCCAAGAATCAGGCATGACACCATCACCTTGGATGCTATGTCATGTTTTAAACAAGTTGTTCTCACACAGTCATTGAGCAACTGAAGCTGCAAATGAAGCTCAATTCTCTCTGCTATACACCTAATTGTATGGATTTTTTTGTTTAGAAAATTCCATGACAACGTTGAAATACAGGGATTGTGGAAAATACATTTAAAAATGCACTGTCCAGCCCTGGCCAGTTAGGCTCAGTGAATAAAGTGTTGGCCTGTGGACTGAAGGTCCCGGGTTTGATTCTGGTCCAGGGCATGTACCTTGATTGCAGGCTCGAACACCAGTCTATCAGGGTGTATGTAGGAGGTAACCAATCGATGTGTCTCTCTCACATTGATGTTTCTCTCTGTCTCTCCCCCTCCTACTCTCTCTAAAAATGAATGGAAAAATAGCCTTGGGTGAAGATTAACAAATAAAATGCACTGTCCAACGGAATTGGAATGAAAAATCATATACTTCACACCATATTTTCATTCATTCAAGCCCTTCCTAGCGCCTTCTAGGAAGCCAGCATCACCTTAATACCAAAACAGTTAAAGATACCACAATAAGAGAGAATTATAGGCCAATATCCCTCATGAACATAGATGTCAAAATCCTACAAAATTCTAGCAAATCAGATCCAGCAGTACATCAGAAAGATCATACAACATGACCAAGTAGGATTTATCCCAGGGATGCAAGGATGGTACAATATCCACAAATCAATAAACGTGATTTATCACATAAACAAATTGAGAGATAAAAATCACATACTCATATCAATTGATGCAGAAAAAGCATTTGACAAAATCCAACACCCTTTCTTGATTAAAAACTCTCAACAAGGTGGGAAAAGAAGAATCATACCTCAATATAATAAAAGCCACATATGATATACCCACAGCTAACATCATACTCAATAGGCAAACACTAAAACCATTTCCCCTAAGAACAGGAATAAGACAATTTGGATGCCCATTCTCACCACTCCTGTTCGACATAGTACTGGAAGTATTAGCCATTGCAATTAGACAAGAAGAAGAAATAAAAGGCATCCAAATTGGAAAAGAAGAAGTAAAGCTGTCCTTATTTACAGATGACAGGATATTATACATAAAAAACTCAAAAGACTCCATAAAAAAACTATTAAACTTAATAAATAAATTTGGGAATGTAGCAGGATACAAACTTAACTCCAAGAAATCTATGGCATTTCTGTACACACAGACCATAAAGGGTGTACCAAGAGTGTCCATCAAAGATAACTGGAAGGCTGACACATTGAACCATTTATGACACCCAGCACACAGTTACCCTACCAACTCAGGGAAGCAGCGAAAATGAGGAGCCAAGGAAACAGATCACAAATTAAAGAAATGGAGGAGAACAAACGACTAGACATAGAGTTCAAAACCACGGTTATAAGTTTTTTCAAGAATTTCCTAGAAAAGACTGATAAATTTAATGAGACCCTCGAGTATATGAAAAAGGACCAACTAGAAATTAAACATACACTGACTGAAATAAAAAATATTATACAGAAACCCAACAACAGACTAGAGGAACGCAAGAATCAAGTCAGAGATTTGGAATACAAAAAGGCAAAGGACACTTCTCCATAGAAGCAAGAAGAGAAGAGAATCCAGAAAGTTGAAGATAGTGTAAGAAGCCTCTGGGACAACATCAGAATTGTGGGGGGTGCCAGAAGAGAGAGAGAGCAAGACACTGAAAACCTATTTGAAGAAAAAATGACAGAAAACTTCCCCCACCTAATGAAAGAAATAGACTTACAAGTCTAAGAAGCACACAAAATCCCAAACAAAAGGAATTCAAAGAGGACCACACCAAGACACATCATAATTAAAATGCCAAGAGCAAAAGAATAAGAAAATCTTACAAGTAGCAAGAGAAAAACAGTTTCCTACAAGGGAGCACCCATACGATTATCTGCTGATTTCTCAACAGAAATTATGCAGGCCAGAAGGGAGTGGCAAGAAATATTAAAAGTGATGAATAGCTAAAACCTACAACCAAGATTACTCTACCCAGCAAAGCTATCATTCAGAATTGAAGGTCAGATAATGAGCTTCACAGATCAGAAAAAGCTATAAGGAGTTCACCACCACCAAACCAGTATTATCTAAAATGCTGAAAGGTATTCTTTAAAAAGAAGAAAAGAGTAAAGATAAAAATTATGAACAACAGATACATATCTATCAACAAGTGAATCTAAAAGTCAAGTGAATTAAAAATCTGAGGAACAGAATAAATCGGTGAATATAATAGAATCAGAGGCATAGAATGGGAGGGGATTGATAATTCTCAGGGGGAAAAGGGTGTCTGTGTTGCGGTTATGGGAAGAGACTGGACAAAAATCATACACCTATGGATGAGGACAGTGGAGGGGGGAGGTAAGGGCAGAGAGTGAGGTGGGGACCAGGTGGAAGGGGGAGGGAGAGAAACAATTGTAATAATCTGAACAATAAAGATTTGTTAAATTAAAAAAAATAATAACCTGATGAACAAAACGATAGAAACAGATGCAGTAAAGCACTAAACAGACTGTCAAATTACAGCGGGAAGGCTGGGGAGTGTTGAAGAGAGGGAGAAGAGATCAACCAAAGGACTTATAAGCACAACCAATGGACACAAGACACTGGTGGGTGGGGGTGGGATGAGGGCATGCGACAGGGAGTAGGGGAGGCTGGGGGAAGGTCAATGGGGAAAAAATAGGAGATATATGTACTACTATATGTAATACTTTAAACAATAAAAAAAGAGTCAAGATTAAGAAAATGGACAATTTGAAATGGATAAAATCAACATCTAATCATAATCCTTTCTGCCAGTCCTAAATAGGTTGATTTCAACACCAATTCTTAGATCTTTGCCACTCACCTTTCAGACTTGTAGACAAGGCTGTGGTGACAGATCTCAAGATGTACAGTTGATCCAATGACCAAGTTCATTTTGAGCACCTTTTCTTCATGGCTACTGTAACCACAAATCAATTTCTCTCAAAGGGGGTTTTAGTCTAAGGGAACTCAATCAGTGAAAATAGGCAAATTCCTGTTTATCTTTTTAACTAAATTTATTTTAAATGGAAATAAGGAGTAAAGCAAACAATGTTGGAGAACTTTTTTTCACTGACATTATCTCAACACTAGTGGCTTGATACATGGATTTGTGTGTACTGAAAGGAAGTTATTATAATTAGAAGAAATATTTTAATATTGTTATTTGCCTTTCCTCTATAATTGAAGTATCAATCAAATTCACGATAGACAATGGCAGACTGACACACACACGTGTGATTGGCACCAGCGAGAGCTTTATATGTACCGTGCATGAACGAGTCAATTTACCCTTTTACATATATAGAATAAACTTGCTTAATTACACCTGCTTTCTGATGTAGCTAAACTTTTTTCAGCCTAGTGAAGCATCCCAACTTCTCTTTTAGGTAATTGTTAGCAAAACAGCAGTAAATTCAAAACAAAGCAGATTATTATTGTAGATCATGCAGGGAGAACATAGGGTAAAATATTTAACTGCAGCAGTTTGCCTATATTCTGTGCTGTGAGAAAACCTTAAGTCATTTTCAAGGTCCACCATTTCTTACTACTTTTCAATCGGGTCAGTTTCTAAACTTTCTAACTCTCCATTTTCTGGCTAATGAAAGTAGGATTCCACTGTGTCTCCTATCTACCTACTCCAGGACTTCTGTAAGGATCAAATGAGATGAGGCACAGGAAAACGCTTCACAGACATTTGGTTAAAGTGAACTTCTGGCTATAAAGCAAGTGGTGTTCCTGGGCTAACAAAACTGCAAGAAGGCTAGTCATTGCTAGGGAGGAAGCGGGCATTGCTACATGCCCTCTGGGCCTGGCTGTGGGCCACATTTTGCACTATAGGGTCTCAACAGCATCGGCTGCAATTTGGTGGGCTGACACTCTGGGATGGTGGCGGGGTCTATGTCCTAGTTGAGGGAAGCTTGAGTGTTGCTTTGTGGGCACCAATTCCTCGGTGCCATTTCTCTGTGAGCATCTGGCAGTTCCTGTGTTGAGCGTCTGCCCCCTGGTGGTCAGTGCACATCATAGCGACCAGTCAGACACAGTATATTAGCCTTTTATATATACAGATTAGTTCATAATGAATTGGGAGATCTACAGTACACTGTATGATATAGTTAAGGCAAAGTCTTACATTTGAAGTGGCTGCTTACAACAGGAACTTAAAGACATAAAAAAACCAAAACACCACACTTTATAAAAGAAAAGGAAAAATTAAAATTGCGGGAGTAAATCAAAATGAAAGTTTGAAAAGTTAAACCATATTTGTTTTTATTTATATATAACTATCACAAGAATTATAAAGAAAAAGAATATCAGAAGGTAACTTGATAGATGAATGCATGCTATGGTAAGATGTTTCTATATATTATGGTTAGTGAGAACATTATCAGTGTAACAGGGCATTATGATTATTTAAAAATATGAACTTGTTTAATCTGTACTTTAGAAATAAATGTATATAGTGTTATAAGTTGAAAAGAACTCAAAAGAATAACTAATACCAAATATACACCTGGTGTATAAGAATTTAAAAAGGCTGCATTCAGTAAAGTTAGTCAGCTATATTAAAAATGACACATATCCAAAACAAGATGCATATTATATAAAAAGGGACACTGTAAGATTTGCTAGCTGCATTAAATCCATGGTTTAATCCAAAAAAATCTCCTTTTAATTATCATTTAGACAGAAGCATGCAAATAGTCTTGGGATCTACTTAAGAGTCTTCTCCCAACCCCCTGAGGCCACCTATCCTCGTTTGAGGAGCTAAGCAGGTATCCGGGTAGCGGCTTCCTCTTCCGCATCAGCCCGGTTTGCATTAATTTCTGCCAGTGTTCGGCCAAACCGTGCCCATTCATCATTTCGGGGGACAGCAATTTGCTGTTAAAAGAAAGAAAATATTTTATACATATTGAAATAAAAGATCAGTTTACTCGCTATTATTCAATGTTTCCAAATAACTTTTCCATTAAAAATAATAGTTGACCTGAATGGCCTTTCCATAATTACAGGGACTATAACAATGATTTACACATTCTGAAACAAAAGACAGTGCTTGTGGAATGTGTCCCAGCAGCCTCAGAAATGACTTTGCCGTTATCGCCATCAGTGCGATAGGAAATCACAATGATGCTCTGTAAGTACAGCTCCTAGTACACTCGCTCATGCCTTACTGATGGGGAGGGAAATCTTAAGAAGTTTCACTTCTTTACTTTATACTTAGTATGAACTAGTTTTTGAAGCACGGTTTAAAAGAACTGGTGTCATAAGTATTTTTTGTTTGTTTGTTTGGAGCCCAAGATAACCTTTCTTGATATCTTACTCCCTGCGCCAGAAGGTACGCTACTTCTTTCCCCTCAGTGATGCACCAAGAGCAAAATGGGAAAAGAGGCTTGTGATGTTTTTTTCTCACTGAAGCAGTTCAATGACCAAAACTTTTTGATGACTGTTATTATAATATTAGAGGAATGTGACATTGCCATATTAGACACAAACCATTCGTCGTAGCAAATGGGTGTGCCTGCTTATAAAATTGGATTAGGTTAGACAGAGATATCCAATTCAATATGGTACCTACTGGCTACATCTGACTACTTACATTTAATGTACTTACAATTAAATAAAATCTAAATTTTAATTCTTCAATCGTCCTAATCACATTTTAAGTGTTCAACAGCCATATATGGCTAGTGGCTACCATATTGGACAGTGCTGATACAGAATAATTCCTTTTGTGCAAATAGTTCAATTGGCTGTTCTAAATAATTCAATCTACTCTTTAGATCCAATTGCTAGAATCCTTGGGGTGTCCAAGAGTTTGGGACCCATAAGGCATAGTAAAGAAGGAGTGACTAAGGCACTAGTCAGGACTGAAAAAAAGGGAAATCACTTCTCAGCATTTTGTACAGTCAACCTAGCACCAATGAGAGAACTGCAACTCATCTTGTTGGATTCACTAATAATGATTCTGCAAAAGGGTTGGGAGCCAAGATTCACTTTTCACAATGGCATCAGAAAACTGTAAAAAATATATTACTTTGATTTTTACTACCTTGTCCAGACAAATATATGAATACAGAAAAATAAAATCTTATCTCAATATCAATTCTGTGAAGCTTGAAAGTCCAACTATAACTCCAAATTTCTTATTATGCCTAAAGAATTTCTAGCTTCCAGCAATGCCTGCTTCAAGAAGCAAGGTACTTCCAACATATTATATTACCCTCAAAATCTATTGCATGGGGACACAGGACATCCAGTTTAGAAAGAAAGTTAATCTCAAGAGTCCTTCCTATGGTAGAAAGTAAGTACTATCTTTACAGCCATATAGTTTATACAAGTCATGAACCACAAAGATTAGTTTTAACCATGAAGACAGAGTTACTACTATATTGTGAAAGCTAAATAGATGTGTCAAAATTATAGTCAGTGAGTCCCATACCTCTCCCACATCATATATAACAATCTGTCCTTCCGAATCGCCCACGGCAATCTCTCTTCCAGAATGGGTCCATCTTACACGATTAAGAGCAGGATTGCCCTCCACAGAAATACTGGCAGTTGGCACCTAAAGTCATTTAAAATATAGTGCAGTGTTAAAGTTTCATCAAGATTCCTATAAACATGTAAAATAGTGATTCTTCTTTCTTCCAATCTGGCTACATTTTTAAAGACAAAGATGAAAATAGATAAAGAATTTTCCCAACGTTCTTGCCGTTCAGTGATACATTACGAATGACATTATAGTCGATCCTTGAAAATGGTTTGGGAAAATAACTTAAGCCTTTATATAAGAAATTCTCACATGACTGGCTACATCATGCTGAAAGATCTTCTCTTTAATAAAGCATTCTTTGTTGTTTTAACTTCCTTAAGAAGTCAAGCTGTTTGACAACAGATGGCCAAAACCCCATTTTAAAGAAACATTTCAAAAGCCCTCATAAACAGATTATGGTTTAATTTTAGAGGACAGGAATTAAATTTGTAGCTTGCATCTCTGTCAGCTGAAACTTGTGATTGGACCCACAGTTCTTGGAAAGAGTTCCTCCTGAAGGTTCAGTATGAGTTTTTTTAGAGCCCCTGGTTCCATGAACTGTCTGGAGCAGGGAGAATGATGCACCAACACAATGGCACCAGCCCCTGCAATCTGACTATCTCTCTCATAGACTGAAAAAAGAGATTTTCTTGCCACATGGAAAACAAACATCCAAAGCTTGACTCAGACCAGAGCACAATACAATTTTTTTAAAATTTGAAATATGACTAAAAATAATCCTTCTAATTGCTACCAGTCAACCCCAAATTATAAATTTAACCCCTAGCATGCTGTTACAGAGAAAAAACTATAAGATGTACTAAACTAGCAGTTAGCAGCGTTAAATTTTTTATATGCCCAATATATCACCTTCCTTGCCCTGTATAACCCAAGTATTTTACTTCAAGGGATTAGACAGATATAAGTTTAATGCAGTTTATCATTAGGATACAAAGCTTATTTGTGATGATGCTATACTCACAGAGCCTTTTACATTTCTTGGGATAGAAAGAATTTCACAAATTATTCAATAACTCTCCAATTTTCTATTTTTCCATGTAGTTTTTGTTATTTTCCCACTTACCTCTGTGTCATTATTGAGATTCCACAAATCCAGCCTCCCCATGCCATCCACACATGCAAACAGGGCTGGGTGGGTGGGTGACCACATAACATCATAAACATAGTCTGAATTATCTTCGAATGAGTATAAGGGCTTGTTATTCTGAAAGGGAAAAGTTGATTCTTAGCATAGTCAAAATATGACATACATTCAACAGGTATAACATTTTATGATATTTAACTCAGCTTAGAAAAAGTTCCCATAATTGTGTCACTATAGAATTAGCTGGAGTTAATGGAACTAAGAGTCAATTATTGGACTGCATTTTCTTTTTCTTTTTTTAACTTATAGTTAACCATACTGTTTAAAAAAAGGAATAGAAGGTACTTTAAAACATCTGTCAATGAGAGGATTCTAAGAAGAGGATAGCAATGACACGTTATTTTTTAATCTCTAAATCTCCCCATAAACCCAGATAAAGTATAGCAAAATCAAAGATTCACAGACATCTACAACAAGATCAGGAGACAAAGCTCCAAATGTAAGCAGGTAAAGACAAACCTCTGACAAGTACAAGACCTGCACAGTGTGAGCATCTGTGAGGCAGGGCATGTGGGAAGGCACGCGGGCTTCTGCTAGCCAGAGAACAGAGCCTCACAGTCAATAGCAGAAGCTTAGTGGCCAGCATGGGGGTCAGTCTGAGAATAGCAGAAACTGTGAGGGATTCTGACACAATTTCATTTATAAATAAATGCACGCAGATTCCACGTGATATAAGTAGGGTCTAATGGTGCAGACTGAGTCCTATAAACTCTCAAACTAACAAACCAACGAGTTCTTTAAAGACCGAGTGAAACTTCTGGGAGCAGTATCCAACCTGTGGAATACAGCACAGTAGGGGCAAAGGAAAGAGAAGGTTCAGATACAGGTGAAAAGGAACAGAAAAGGCATATCTTACATAGATAGGTAAAGAAATATATAGCCGAAACCGGTTTGGCTCAGTGGTAGAGCGTCGGTCTGCGGACTGAAAGGTCCCAGGTTCGATTCCGGTCAGGGGCATGTACATTGGTGGCGGGCACATCCCCGGTAGGGGGTGTGCAAGAGGCACCTGGTCGATGTTTCTCTCTCATCAACGTTTCTAGCTCTCTCTCTCTCCCTTCCTCTCTGTAAAAAATCAATAAAATATATATATATTTTTAAAAAGATAGGTAAAGAAATATATAGAAGGCATATCTCAGATCAAGAGGGAGATAGCTAAAGAAATATAAAAAGGCATATCTCATAGAGATAGGCAGATAAAGACATATAGCTGCTTTGCAAGAAACACAGGAGAACCTTCACCCAGACAATACAACTAGAAAAGCTATCTTTTCCCATTCCCTCCCTCTTACAAGAGAAAACTCATTTCACTAGTAGACAATAAGCAACAAAAAGGTATCTTAGTCAAATCCCATACAAAGTTATAATGACAGATCTTCAATAAGAGTGTCATAACAATTAAATGGGAAAAAAACAGTTTTTTCAACAGATGATACTGGGACAACTGAATATACACATGCAAAACAATGAAGTTGGACTGCCTCCTTCCTCACATGGAAATTAACTTAAAATGTACCATAAATCTAAATATAAGAGGTAAAACTATAAATCTCTTAAGAAAAAGCATAGGAGTAAATCATTGTGACCTTGGATTCTGCAATAGTTTCTTAGATAAAAAGCGAAAAGCACAAGTGACGAAAGAAAAAGTGGATAAAGTGGGCTACATCAAAACTAAATACTCTTGTGCTTCAAACAATATCCTCAAGAAAGTGAAAATGAAAAGATAATTTATACAATGGGAGAAAATATTTGAAAATCATATATCTGATAAGTTATTAGAACCCTTACAACTCATTAACAAAAGGCAAATGACTCAATTAAAAATTGGGCAAAGGATTTGACTAGATTTCTCCAAAGAAGATCTACAAATAGCAACCAAGCACTTGAAACATCATTATCCATCAGGGGAATGCAAATTAAATCACAATGAGATATCATTTCATACCACTAGGATGGCTATTTAGGACAGACAATAACAAGTACTAGTGGTGAGGATGTGAGAAATTAGAATGTAAATTGCTGTAGCTGCTTTGAAAAAGTTTAGCAGTTCCTGGAAATGCTAATTAGAGTGACATATGACCCAACAATTCTTTTCCTAGGTTCATACCTAAGAGAAATGAAAACAGAGCTTGCTGGCAACCACAAGTTAGCAACAGATTCTCCCTCAGTTGCCTCCCAAAGTAACCAACCTTGTCAACTCCTGGATTTTTCGACTTTAAGCCTATAGAACTGTGAGAGAATAAATTTCTGTTCTTTTAAAGCCACCTAGTTTGTATTTATTTGTTCCAGCATTCCTAGGGAATAATAGAATAATTCTGTATTTTTCTGGGGTAACTGGGTAAATCTAGATTAATAACTAAAAAGATTCCCTATAGTAAATACATGAACATAACAGTGAGGTGCTCTCAAAAGAACTGGGAAATACATTTTCAGTTGGATCGGAACAGAAATAAGCAGATCTCTTTAAAAAGAAATGATACCACCTTAGATGGTTTAACTCAGTGGATAGAGTGTCGGCCTATGGACCAAAGGGTCCAGGGTTTGATTCCGGTCAAGGGCATGTACCTTGGTAGCAGGCTTCTCCCTGACCTGGGCCCTGGTCAGGGCACGTGCAAGAGGCAACCAATGTGTTTCTCCTACATCAATGTCTCTCTCTGCCCTGCCCTCTCTCTTCCACTCTAAAAATCAATGGGAAAATATACTCAGGTGAGGATTAACAAAACAAAACAAACAAAAAAGAAATGAGACCCAGGTCAGAAATACCTTCCTTATCTTGACCTTTTTGAGAAGACTTGTGTCTATTAAAAACAATACAACAAAATACAGGCAGTTTCCAATATAAGCACTGTCTATCTAGAAGAGAGTCTCAGTCAATGGACTGTGAGAATTACCACCCAGGGCAAGACTATTCTGTGGGAAGATGAATGAATCATGTTATCATTGCTTGATGCCATTAAACATTCAAATTAGAAAACTTCCTTTGTTCCAACTGCTTGCTCACTAAGCAATCTTCTGATTATAATTTGGCTTCCCATGTGGGTTGTCTACAGGGAAACAATGAGCTGGTCAGGCCAGCATGAGTATCGGGGCCTTTTGACAGTTATTTCTCATTGCAAATTAATAAATTGACCGTCTCTAATGTATCAGTGTCTTAGTTCCAGTCAGCACTCCCTAGCTAATCAACTCTAGAAGATAGGCAAAACTGAGTTTCTAAATATGTGAAAGACAGGCTGGACACTGGTCAGCAGCAAATTACTATAGTAAATGCTGCCAATAAGTCCCAATAGTCAGTAGGCTTCCCCACGAAACACCCCGATCTCAAAATATTTTTCCATTTAACTTGTCTAATATGTGCACAGATGCTATTTCAAGAGTTAGTAAAATATCTTTGATCCTATTTTAATGCTGTATTCTCTAAGTGTTAAATAGGAAAGTTGTTAAAATAAGGAGGGGATTTAAGACATCAGAGACTGTAAACAAATTTTAAGGTGTGTAAGGATTACAAAAGTCTGAAAACTAACAATTCAAAGAAATTATCACATTAACAATCTTAATTTTGTCACTTCATAATAAATATGGTTTGATAGATATTGCTCTGAGACTAGAAAATACCATGTATACATTAAAACACTTTGTCCCTGAAATAAATAATTTTTACATTTTAAGAGTCATCTGTAACGAGTATGGTTACATTTAATGGAACAAATATTCAGGTTACTTTTAAGAAGCTTTTACTTCTCACATATTCTTCCTACCATTTTCCAAGCCTCGAAATGTGCTTTTTGTGGTGCTATTTCGAACTTGGTATTTTGAAAGGGTAACCATCTCCTCCTAATAAATTTAGAAGCTGACTACAGAAGTAGATTACTTTAAAGATGAGGCAGTGCCAAATGGAGATTTCTAGGAATTTTTTGGAGGATTTACAGAAAGCGGGGGGACAAGGACTCGTTTTGCTACCGGGGCACAGGCAGATCTTAAAAAGGACACAAAGATACAGTGATATCTAATGGCGCATTCTTCCAGTTCACAGACCATAGAGAGAAGAAAAACACTTTAAAATTAGGTTAAATTCATGTATGTAAAGATACTGGTTTAAAGAGCTTAAAATGGAATTGAAACAATGTTTTTAAAAAGAGTATTTAAAAATACTTACCTGCCTATTATTCATTACCATTATGTTAAAGAGCACAGAGGCTCTATCAAGTGGTTTGACAGGATAGAAATAAATATCAGCAACACAATTAACCTTGAAGTATAAATCTAAGATCAGAGCAATGACACTGGGAGTCATGATATTGGCAAATAAAAAATACTTACCAGCACACTGTTGTTGTTGTTCCATCCTTCATACAGAACTGTTTGTGTCCAGAACAGTTCGAATAAAAAGTAATTCTGATAAAGTTTTGAAGGCCCGTGGGCATGTATAAAAACACCATTCTATAGGGGCCATTTTTTGGCCACTAACATTTAAGAGGATGTATGTGTGGGGAAGAGAGAAGAGGCATACATCACAGTTCAATGAGTGAATGAGTGTTCTATATGAAGAAGCTCAGGGAAGAAAGCAATACCTAGCCCAGAAAGAGATATGCCTGCCTGTCATTCTTATTCAGAGACAGTTCTATGTTGAAATACAACAAAAGACAAGCACAAAAAGATATTAATCACCAATCAACCAACAATATAACATATTCATCCATAACTTTATACAATACCTTCTTTTAAAAAATTTCTCTTAGAATGTATTGATTTTAGAGAGAGGAAGGATGAGAGACAGAGAAACATTGATTTCTTGTTCCATTTATTTATGCATTCATTGGTTGCTTCATGTATATGTCGTAACTGGGTTTTGAACTTGTAACCTTGGTGCAATGGGACAGTCTCTAACTTTCTTAATGATTCAAATTTATTATCGTGTAGCTTTATCAAATAGGACTTATTGTATATTATTTTTTATCTGTCTTTTCTCCATTTCCCCATCAGTTCTATAAGTCACTGCAATCTGAACAAACCTCTAAAAACTCACACAAAAATGTATGACTTTAGTGCTGGGCTGTATGATAGCTATGTAAGGTGCTATGCGAGATACTCAGGCTTTTTCTCTAGCTCAGTTCAGGGCAGACAGTTCTGTGTTCGAAAAGCCTGAAGTAGTTGGAAGACTGGTGTTTGTGTGTAGGATTACCATATTTGTCAGCACATTTTTATGAAAACTACCACCTCTAGAAGCTCACTTATATTCTAATTTCTTATCAGGTTTGATCTTCAGTTAATCATGCTAAGCTATTAGAAAGCTTTCCATCTTTCCCATGTAGTACTAGAGCACCACCTTGTGTTAGAAACCTAAGCAAATGATCAGACATCTGTTTTTAGATACCTTAGTTGTCCAAAGCTTTACTGTCCAGTCAAATGATGAAGTGACAAAAAGATGTGAGAAGTCTACTGCTCCAACAGCTGCATGACAATGGATGCCCGTGATTGGTCCTTGATGTCCCTCAAACATCTCACTGATTCCAGCTTTGCTGTTTCGTCAAAGTGAAAATGTTAGGGAAAGCTCTGTAAGAATACCACTTACAAAAACATTATTTTACAGCTTATTTATCAAACTTTGAAATAATTTCAACACTTACCCTGTGCTCATAACATATCAGAATAACTGAAATTGAGTGTTACTCTATTTGATAACACTACTAAAGCAATCCTATATAATAAATAATAAAAGGCTAATATGCAAATAGACCAAACGGTGGAGCAACTGAACAACCGAACAACCGGTTGCTATAACATGCGCTGACCATCAGGAGGTGTGTGCAGAACATGGCAGGCATCGGCCATGGTGGGATGGTGGAGCAGGTGAGTGGGGGATGTAGACCAAGCCGGGGCAATCGCTGCCATCAGGTTACTGAAAATTCTTTGTTTCTGAGCGCAGCAGTCCTACCGGGCACTTGCACCCACAGCTGGTGCCGGAGCAGGTCCCAATTGCTCAGCACTGTCTGCCGGTGCAAGAGGTGGCTGCCAGCCCCAATTTCGCCTGAGGGCTTCTCCACCTCCCCCTGCTCCTGAGGGGCCATCAGGGGTAGCAGCCACCACTCACACCAGCTGCTGGTGCTGGCCCCAATTGCTCCACACTGTCAGCACATGGGAGTGGCAGTGGGAGCGGGGCTGCTGGCAGATGGACCGGAGGCCATGATAGGAGGGGCCGGATGAAGGCGTAGAGGATGTGCTGAGACCCGTCCCTGTGCCCACTGCAGCCTCGTGGCCTACAGTTCCTTTCAAGCTGCACAAATCCGTGCCCTGGGGCCCTAGTAAGTACATATTTGAACCATAAACATGGTGTTGAAATCAGAACTCAAAAGTTCAATGTCTGAAGTGGTGGAATAGGGATAAAGGGATAAGAGAGAAAATCTGGACTACTCTTAAATCAAAAGGTTTGAAGTGAAGGTGATCTGTACTTGAGATGAAAACTGGACATTCAATTTTTTTTTTAAGGAAGCCATTGATAAGGTACAGGTAGACAATTTCAAAACAAATTGAACAGCAGGAGAAATACTAGTCAATTTAAAATGTGTACATGATAATACAATTATCAGGAGGAAGGACTGAACTAAAAGCTCAAAGTCTACATAAAATGAGAAAATGGCTGAAAGTCTTATATACAACTTGAAAGGTCAACATGTGGCAAGTGTATAATGTATTTGCAATTGCTGAATGTTATCTTCCACCACTAACTTCTGCAAGTATGTGCACACACATAAAACTACACCACAACCTTCAACATCCAGAATTCATCATGATCCAAAATAACTTTTGATTTTTCAAAAATCGTTTTAATTTTATACACCTGACCTCAAATAATGTGTCACAAATAATGAATGGCTCTAGGATAGATTTCTACTTAAACAAGGGGCAATTTGTTTTAATGAGATTATTCAGGGAAAATTGTAAATAATTGCAAATTTCAGTGTAGATGTACCTGCCATGGCGGCATGCTGTGTACACGGAGCCTTCTTCACTCCCAACAACAAAGTTGTTGACATCTCCAACCGGGAAGGACATTGATGTCACAGCTACTGCCTTTGACTGTTTGTGAACCAATTCCATGCTATCCTGGATAGAAAAATTAAGGAAATTAGTTTGTAAACTTTCAATTATTTTTTTTAAGGAAAATTTATATTTTTAATTGATTTGTAAGCAATTCTTTTATTATACTTCTTATATAAATTGTCTTTAAGTGAAGCAGGTTTGAAAATATATATTCAACAAGCTATATTTAACACATGTTTAGATTTATAAACTATTACCAGATTACCATTATAAAACATTTATAAAACACATAAGCTGGGGTTTACATAGACTTAAAAAATAACATTTGCCTCAAAATTTCAGAGTTTTCCAAAATAAACCTACCTGTGGATGGGAAAGCATGTCCAGACTCCATGAACAGATTTTTCCATCAGTAGAGATGCTAATCAGATTATGAGCATTTTGTGTTCCAACAACATTTACACAATATACAGGATGCTGAAGAAAGAGATATTAAGGATTTCTGGAATTATTTCACCAAAAAGTGAAAAAGTTTTTATTGCATAATCATAAATATTCTCTTTCATATCAAAACCGTCTCTTATCTTCAGGGCATTTTTAATGTGAAGTTTGACGCTATTCTGTTAATTAATGAAAGGATGTCTCAGAAGAGAAATAGGTTTCTAATAAAACAAATTTCCAGAATTATAGAAAAAAGGCCTTTGTTCTTTGCTGCTAAATGATAAGGAATTCACACATCAAAGAAAACCCATTCGGAGGCTACTCTGATGGGCACCACTAAGTATTTAATGGAGAAGGAGCACAGAAGTCTAATGGAAATAACCTCTTTACTCACTGTGTGTGCAGCAGCTGACAGTGGAGTTCTTTGCACTGGTGTTCTTTTATTACTACGGTTATCCCACAGCACAATCTGGCCTGAATACGTACCGCCAACAACCAGATTTGGATGAAATTTTGCAAATGTAGCAGACATCACAGCTGACTGCAAATAAGTAAGATTTTTATATTTAAGGTTCAAATATTAGAAGCTTGACAAGTTATAAAAATGCATTTTCCCCTTCATTATAAGGTATTAGAGATTATAAAAACAAGTAAATAAATTCATTTAAAATTTTTACTTTGTTCCAGAATATAAAAATTTATTTTTGAATATTTTTTGCTTAAAAGTCTAATGTAATGATTACTTACATAAATATGTTTAAGTAACTTATAAAGAAAGCAAAATATTATTTTATTCAATTACAGTATTAAGTCAAAAGATAACTGGCTTTGCATTAACCTCTAACAATAATCTGACAACAGAGTACTTGCTAGTTTTGATTCAGTTAAGTGTTTTTTTTTTTGGAATTAAAATATTAAAAGATTATAACTTATATAACCAAAAAAGGTTTGCAAATTCTAACTTACTAAATCCTCTTTAAAACTCTGCATCTGTTTCCTACTCCACACATATGTTTCTACTTAAAACTATCTAGTTCCAACTCCTCAGGCCATGTATAAGTAATTCAGTGGGCCAACAGTCTAATTGTATATTCAGCAAATAACTTCCTAAGAAAGACCCTGTAGAAAAGACATTTTAGAAAAGATTTCTTTTATACAATCAATCACAATAACAGAAAATCACAACTGCAAAGAACTTTAGGTGTGATTAAACATTATAAGAGATGTCAGAAATGCTACAAAAAGGCAGATCATGTTGAATTGAGAAGTCTTTAGTTTTCTGTTAACATCTGTTTGCAAATATGAGGTGGTTTAGTAAATGTCAACCCAATAAAATCATCATGTTGACAAGAAAAGAAAAAAGGCACTTGTCTAAATTCATTAATGAATTCTTAAACTTGAGGAAGACTTTACCTGGCAGTGAAATACATATTCTGGGGTAGTTTTTTTGTATTTCATATTCCATACAAGGGCCACCCCATCAGGTTCATGAGGAGCATCTTCATTGTTATTATAGGAAGCCACGAGTAACTCTGGATACTGCTCATAAAAATCAAGTAGAAAAAAATGCTATGTTAAGAACTGTTTTTACATTCTTAGTTACTCATTGTATTTATCAAATTATTCTGAAATACAAATACATAACACTTCATAAAAAAAGAGATATCTCTAGAGTTATGTTTACTGGAATGTAACATTACCTTAAATTAGTTATTTAAAATGTTTTAATTAATTCAATTAATATATGTATTACAATTTTATCCAAAGGATTTGGTGAGCAATTGAAACTGGATTTTGGCATAAATAAAATCTTAAGTTTTAAATATAAATAATGTTTCCAATAATTTCTTCTACAGTTTACATAAGACAAAATGAATAAAAAACCATTGGATCATCTATTATTATTTTATTTATTTAAAAAAATTATTAAATTATCTGTGTACATATTTTAACATTGCCCCCCATCTATTATTATTTTAAATGATATATATTGATTTAATTACACAAAATTTCCATGGTTAAAATAAAAGGTTAAAAGCAAAAAACCAAAAACCACAACTCACAGATACAGACAACTCTATGGTGATTACCAGAAGGAATGGGGGATGGGGAGAGGTAGGAAAGGGTGATGGAAGGAGACTTGACTCTGGGTGGTCAACACACAAGCAATATACAGTTGACGTATTATAGAACTGTACACCTGAAACCCATACAATTTTATTAAGCAATGTCACCCCAATAAATTCAATAAATGTAAAAAAAAAAAAAAAAGAATAAAAATAAAGAAAAAACAAAAATGAATTAATAGCAACCAGTTTTATAATTTACCTGAGATGACCAATCCAAACAACTAACAACCCGATGCTTTGACCACCGTTCGTCAAAAAATTGTCGATTTAATGACAGCTTTGCACCTGCTTGAATCTCTCTATAGAAAAGACCAAATCCAGAAAAAGGTGGTGTTATAAATCCTTCCTCTTAATCTTAAAGTAACTTATCATTGCTAAAGCCATAATTTTAGTGATTAAACATTACCCTTCTTTGTCTTCCAAATCTCTGCCACTGTAGTCAAAGAAGATGTTAATCTGCTCAGAAAGAGCTCTTTCTACAATTCTCGTGGAATGGTCAAAGAAACTTAAAAACTCTTCAGTGTGCAAGATTTGTTGCTTTTCTTCTTCAGTCAGCTCATGAGGGGGAGCTGGAAAACAAATGTTTTTCTGAAGTCTGACTTATGTGAGTCAAATCAGGTCAACTCACTATTATAGTTTGAATCAATGTATGCCACACATTCTTTTACAACCAGATGCACCTCTTTAATTTAGAGCATTTTATTCTACTTTCATATATAAACAATAAAGAGAATCTTATTAGGAATCTACAAAGTTTTTTTAAAGTAAAATTCTTTAAAATACCTTTACTATCATTTTCCTCATCTTTTTTAAAAATTTTCTCTTCTTCATGTTCAATAGGTGGTTTAGGAGTCACTACATCATCATCATCTTCATCATCTGAGAAAAACAACACAGAGAACAAGAATTATTTTTATGAAAATAATAGATAATTTTTTAGGTCATAGGCAGAAGGTATCACAACTCTTTATATAAAAGCAAAAGCAAATCACGGATAAGACAGAATAAATACAAATAATATGATTTTGTCAACATAATTTTGAAGAAAGAACTATGTAGAACCTCTAGGTTTTTATACATACCTATATGGCATCTTATCAACAGTCATTCCAAATTCTGTAGCTACAGAAACTGAAATAAGATATTTAAGCAACTAGGATGAATTCCTTAGGGAAATCTCTAAAAGCTTGCAAGCATTTATCATTCCAGACAGAACAACATGCAACTCCTACGTAGTTTTATGTAGCATGCTGACACATTAATGCTGTAGAATGAAGAAAATCAAATGTCGAAAATAGCCTACAGAGCTGGCTGCTTACTTATGATCTGAAACCATCAGTGTCTAATGGGTCTTCATATGGCATAAAGACGGCTTACATTAACTCTCAGGTTGCTATTTGAGAGGCAGATTTTAAAGATAATAGCTATGAGACCACATTTTCTATTCTGTCATTTTAAATGCAAGTCTCATTACCACCGTTATATAATGTGGCAATAAGCACTTAATGTTTTCTTGAATAAATATATATATATAGAGAGATAATATACAATATTTAGAAGATTTTTTTTATTACTAAATCTACTCTTATATTCCAAAACCAGGAAATAACTCAAAATCACTTATTTTAAAATGTTATAGAATACACAGCTTTGCCTACTTCTCTCTCACTACATACTGAGATGGATTTTTATGGAGGAAACGCTTTTTTTATTGTCTAAACAGAGGTGTCATTTGTCTATGCGGGAGTAGCAGCAGGGATCTACAGCACAGTAGCACAGTACATCTCAAGTAATGAGAGCCTATTCAATAAAGGAACTTTCCTTGTTAGTTATAGTCCTTCCCCTGACCCATGTTTGAAATTATCTAAAACACACATATATACAATGGACACAAAAGAATGGTCAAGGATGGGAACCAGCTGCCAAGTCATGGTCCCACAGCCAAGCCAGCTGACTAGATAGCAACAACCAGATGGCATTGCTGGGATTGTGTCTTTCTGCTACAAGGTGGCAATGGGATGGCATAACATTCTTCCGCTTGACTGCTTCCAATCCTGTCTCTCCCCAATGGCGAGCCCATGCAATTACCCGCTCTCCAGGAGGCCTACAGATAAGCCTTTGCCCTACAAACAAAATGCAGCTTGTAGGCCACACCAGCTGCTAAACCACACACATAGTGTTAGGTTTGGAGAGCTATGAAAATCTTTCTAACTCTACCGTATAAGCAATAAAAATATAACTGTAGCCGTAGGGAAGAAAGCTTTAAATGACACTGTATAATGCACAAAATGATACAACCTCCAACTTAATCAAAATGATAATGACGTATGCCAATCCTCCATTACTTGAAATAGAGAGATTTTTACGTTCTGACAAGTTTACAGAACTAGGATAAATGGCACGAATGATTTCAATATATGCTCATACTTTTGAACCAAATGGTGAAGGTTAAAATTTTTCCTTTCAAGGGCCTCAATCAGCCACAAAGGAAAACAGTAATCACTGTCTTTTCAGCCAGCCCAACCGCATTTGTCAGCCCTTTCTCCGTCAAGGCAGCCAGAGCAATCAACCTGCCAAACATTCAGAATGGAAAAACAATCTGAAAATACAGGGTATAATGCACCTGCCAGTGAAAATGGCCATTTCAAGAAAAGCTAGTGATCTCAGTGACCCCGCTGAGGAGGCGGTAGTGCAAAGGGGAAAGAACACGTAAAAGAATTCTTAGTGATCGCCACTCTCTTGCACATTGACACTTCCTTACAAAGCATGCCAATTACAGCTTTTGTGCTACTTAAAAAATGAAAGCTTTTTGGGGAACAATATAATCACATGGAGAAACAGAAAGACAGTACTCCTTTTTAGACGAGTTCTCATATACAACAGATTATTAATCTGAAAACATTATAACTGGTAACAATTCTATACTGCTCAAACATTAGAATGAAATTTTACTATAAAGTCACCTGCAAGTATAATGTAATAAAATTACTTAATTACATTTAACTTAAAAGTTAACTTTCAGAATAATAGAATATTTACTTCAATTAAAAATTAAATCTGGAAATATATATATATATTTCCATTTTTTGCTAATACTATCAATTATCCTAATCAATTTCATTAGTAGCATTCACTGAATGTAAACCTAAAATCAAAGATAGGGATTTTGAATCACCCTGGACAGGTCACTCTTGAGCACTGTGAATTATAAATTACAGCCTCCTGCCCACATCATATTCTCCTCCCTCAACTTTGTTGTATTATACGGCTTCTAAATACCATTTCCAATGACATGTGTCAAATTCCTGTCATAATGCATATGGTCAGTACTTTAGTGCTAAGTGACCTCATAATCTACATATTTAAAAGAAAAGATCTTGTTTATAGACACTCTTTTCCTTTTAAAATTTAAAATGTAGACGATGTTAGGCAGTGATCTATATCTGCCTACTATATGGCACCTGCCATACCTATTTGCCTATGTAGGTCATTTTAGTTATAGTTGAATAATAACTATTAACTATTTTAATACATGTTTTTCAGGATTTCATTTTAGAATGAACATACATAGCTCCCTTTACACATGGATTAAAAACTGATTTAAAAATTATGATATTTAAACCCAAATTTCATTAAAATGATTAAGCTAAACGAACTTGAAAGAACATAAAAATAAATGATCTGCTATTCTTATAAAATGCAAAAATATAATATTTTCATTATAAAGCTGATTTTTAACAATTACCTATATACCAAATATTTGGCAAAAACATTTAACATCAGAAACATCCAACTAGGGAATGTTCCTCTGAAACAAAGATATTTCTCTTATTAAAAACTAATAACAATAGCTACTAAAAGACTATTAGCATGAGCAAAATATTACAATTGCAAAGATCTAAGCTAGTCTCTATTATATGATAAGCTTTAATATATATTTAAAACTGAAAGACTGCAATAGAGCAGGAAAAATGGGACTGCCATGTCACATCAATTTATTGATGAATATTCATTGCAATATGCTAAGTGGTTAACTCCATGCTTTCTCTGACAGGGAATCTAAGGTTATAAACTGAGCAGTAAAGAATGCATAAAAGTAGCAGTTACTTTTAAAATGACAAATCTCTTGTCAATGAATGCTAAGACTAGGTTTAATGAACCATTGAATTTTTACTTTGAGTTAACATCAAAATTGTGATGTATTTTGGTGAGATGGAAAGAAAAGCTGTTCTATAAATTAAACTGCACCTAGAAATAACACCAAAGAATGAAATTCCAGTTGTCGGAATCATCTGTTACAATGGAATAGGTTAATCAAAGTTAAATCATCTGTGAAATGGGTGGCTTTTGTTAAACTGAAGAGTGTCTTCAGAGCAAGTTTTATCATCTGTATGTCATATTACATTTAAGAGACATCTAAATAAGAATAAGCCAAAAAGTATACTTAAAATATTACAACTCATTTACATAGGTAATATGCAAAGGTCCTAAAAAGTCCTCATTAAACATTTTATCTATCACAAGGATTAATCCATAATAGGAAGTGAAAAGCAAATCCCATCATTAGTATATTAATGCTGTTTAGGAAATAAGGTTGTTGTTTTCATTATGCTGGTGTCCCCTATTTTAAGACAGTTTAATATCCAATGAGAAATATCGAATTTAAAAAGCAGGCTGATTATTCATGGTATGAAGGAAGTTGCCACTGAGTTTTAAAAATCAAGAAATTATTTGCATAGAAAATATACATTAATGAACATCTTATAAAAATAACTTTATGAACATCTTTGAGAAAATAAGAATAGTAGAAGAAAATGCTACAATCATTAATTTACAAATACAGATATGAATAATTTTCCTTTAATATTTTCAAAATAATCCTTTTCTGGATCAACATTGTTTTGAATTGCTTCACTTCAACCAATTTATCCATAATTTCATCGTCTTATACCTTACTCTTTAAGATCATTAAGAGAACTTATACTGTGACAAAGCTTCATGAATGCATCAGGGAATCCATTCCTTTTATTTTTTTAAACATCTAGAATAAGATGCAAAGTCACTGTTATTTTTTCTTTTTTCTTTTTTTATATTCTCACCCAAGGGTATATTTTTACTGATTTAGAGAGAGAGGAAAAGAGAGGATGAGACAGACAGACAGAATCTATGTGAGAAACATCAACTGGTTGCCTTCCATACATGTCGTAACCTGGGAATTGAACCTGTAACCTTTTGTATACAGATGACGCTCCAACCAACTAAGCTACCAAGCCAGGAATCTATATGGTCTTTTTTTTTTTAATTGATATTTTATTGATTTTTTAATTGATATTTTATTGATTTTTCACAGAGAGGAAGAGAGAGGGATAGAGAGTTAGAAACATCAATGAGAGAGAATCATCGATCAGCTGCCTCTTGCACATCCTCCACCGGAGATGTGCCCGCAACCAAGGTACATGCCCTTGCCCGGAATCGAACCCGGGACCTTTCAGTCCGCAGGCCAACGCTCTATCCACTGAGCCACACCGGTCCCGGCTACATAGTCTTTTTTTTTTTTTTTTTTTTAATATATTTTATTAATTTTCCACAGAGAGGGAGGGAGAGAGATAGAGAGCTAGAAACGTCGACGAGAGCCAAACATCAACCAGCTGCCTCTTGCACACACCCCACCGGGGATGTGCCCGCAACCAGTGTACATGCCCTTGACTGGAATCGAACCCGGAACCCCTCAGTCCGCAGACCGACACTCTACTGCTGAGCCAAACCGGCCTCGGCTACATGGTCTTTTTAATATAAAATTCAGATTTTATTTAGACAGTATTGGCATCATTTACATAAGATTCTGTGAGCTGGGCTCTCATAAATATTACATTTTTCTGACACCATAATTTCAGATATGTCTTTCTGAAGACAGATAAAGTCTTTCAATCAATATTAAGAAAAAAATCCTTACTGATTCTGAGGGTTAACACTAATTTTTTAAATGTGCTATTTATTCCAGAATTTTTTAAAAATTCATTTTTGACAAGGGTAATATTAATATTAACCAGAGGTCCACAAATTTAGTCTACTTGGGAAATGTAGATTCCAGATGTTAAGATCATGCAATAAAAAATTAAAAGTTCTGCCGAAACCAGTTAGCCTCAGTTAACTTCCCTAGGCCTCTATCTAATGATTAGATTAGATAACCTTTAGGACAACTTCCTCTTTAAAAATCTGTTCCTAAAAACAGCAACAACGACAAAAAAAATCCATATTGAGAGGTGAATAAGAAAAAATGCCATTTTCAAAGAGAGTTATAAACTTTAAAAAGGTAAAGGCAGAAAGTAACTTTTCCAGGAGTGTATCTGTGGGCACCATGCTCCTGCCATGAGAAGCTTTTTACCTGCCGCGAATAAAATTGACTAAGGTCGCATGTTCCTAGTCAATTTCATTCACAGTAGGTGCTGTAAGGCAGCAAAGAACATCAGTTCAGAAACTGTGCCACCAACTTACAGAATAAACTTGAAAGCAAGAAGATGGCTAGCAAGGGAGAAAAGAAAAACAAGGCAAAATAAAAACTACTGCTTTTTAAAAGAATAGATTCAGCCATTTAAAAAAATGAGAGAAAGGTAAGAGTTAAATCTAAGACCAATTTAAAAATCTTCAATTTGGTAATTCTAATTACTTCTGCACTGATTACACTGCCTACCCAAGTTTAATTTACTGTCCGTTACACTCAAATTGTGATTCCTACAATTTTATCTCATGGTGAGTTTTGGAATTTGTTACATAATTCTTCAATGGGAACCAGCCAGGCTGTTTGAGAACTACTGTTTAAAGCAATGGATAAGCACAAGTACAGTTAAGCATAAAGTATTTTCATTATAAAATCTTAATTTCAGGCTTTTTTTTTCTTTCTCCTCTTTCTAGAAACTTCCATAAACTGAGAAAAGAAACTTAATGTAATAAACCTTGACATGAAAATAACTGTAACAATACAGAAAGAAAATTATCTCATTTTTATAAATAGTACCAAAGGCTAAGTATGGCCCATGGTATTGGGAAACATTTCTCACTCTCCTTCAGTTACTTACCTTAACCTGAAACTAAAAACAACAACAATAAACAAAGAAAGGACAATCTAGTGTCTTTAATTATAGCATACACTCTTAAATTTGCAGAACCAATGAGTACTTAGGTTGCAAATGAATAAATATTGAACTTTGTAAAAATTTATACCTAAATCTAGTTCTCACAGTGAAAATTTAAAGGTATGTCTGCATCAGTTGTGATTTTAAAACTAGGCTCAGTTCACCCATCTTGTCACTTTCACCTTCTTTCAGTGAAGAAATATTATATTTAACTCAATGAAAGATCAAAACTGTTTATTTATTACTAGAAGTCCGTTGCATAAAATTCGTGTGTGTGTGTGTGTGTGTGTGTGTGTGTGTGTGTCCGTCCCTCAGTCCAGCCTGCACCGTCTCCAATCTGGGACATCCCTCTCACAATCCAGGACTGCTGGCTCCCAACTGAACACCTACCTGCCTGCCTGACTGCCCCTAACCGCTTCTGCCTGCCAGCCTGCTCACCCCCTAACCACTCGCCTGCCAGCCTGATTGATGTTAACTGCTCCCTAACTGCCCTCCCCGGCTGACCTGGTCACCCCTAACTGTCCTCCCCTGATGGTCCAGTCACCCCTAATTGCTCTCCCTTGTCAGCCTGGTTACCCCTAACTGCCCTCCCCTGCAGGCCCAGTCACCCCCAACTGCCTTCCCCTGCTGGCCTGATCCCCCACAACTACTCTCTCCTGCTGGCCATCTTGTGGTGGCCATCTTATGTACACATGGGGCGGCCAACTTGTGTGTTGGAGTGATGGTCAATTTGCATGTTACTTCTTTATTATATAGGATTCTTAGATTAGAGGACCAGTGCATGAAAATTCAGGGGAGTTCTTCAGTCCAGCCTGGGTCCTCTCGCAGCCTGGGAGCCTTTGGAGGATGTCCGACTGCCACAGAGGCAAAAGAAGCTCCTGCCACTGCCACTGCACTTGCCAGGCGTGAGCCTGGATCAGGGCTTCTGGCTGAGAGGTGCTCCCCCATGTGGGAGCATACGGACCACCAGGGGGCAGCTACTGTGTTAAGCGTCTGCTCCCTGGTGGTCAGTGTGCATCATAGTGACTGGCTGTTGATTTGTATATTAGCCTTTTATTATCTGGGATAATCACTATAAAATAATATTATTTCGATGCATACACCAATAATAAAGTTAACTAAACCATGCTATTTTTTAATGAAGTATTTTTTAAACTACAGGTCTAAACCAATAAATTTAGTACATAATGTTCAACATTTTAAAAAATGAAATAGAGCTCTAGTTGGATTGGATCAGTAGATAAGAGTGTCAGCCTACGGACCAAAGGGTTCTGGGTTCAATTCCTGTCAGGGGCACGTACGGTATCTCAGTTGCAAAATCCTCCCTGGCTCAGGCTCTGGTTGGGCTGGTGCAGGAGGCAACCAATCACTGTGCGTCTCTTACATGGATATTTCTCTCTGTCTTTCCCTCTCTCTTCCACTCTCTCTAAAATAATGGAAAAACATCCTCAGATGAAGATTAAAATAAATAAATAAATAAATAAATAAATAAATAAATAAATGAAATGAAATGAAATGAAATGAAATGAAATGAAATAGAAAAGGGAGGTGCTATTTCATAAAAGTTGTTTCAGTTAATCATGTGTATTTTTGTGTATAATGGATTATAATATTGATTTTTTTTTTTTTTTTACCATAGATTAACTATCATAAAAACATGAAAATGCTGCTACAGTGGCAGCATAAGAGGGAAAACACATCTTGGAATAAGTCAGACTTCATTTAGAATCTGAGCTACTGGCTATGTGAACCTTGATAAATTACCTCTTTCAGTTTAAGTTTCTTCATAAGCAAATAGAACCATTACTTAACTCTAAGGGTTTTGGTGAGAAAATTAGAGGTAATATAAAGTGCCTCACACTATACCTGTAGGCACTCTTTGCTGTTGAAACTTTCCATAATCAGCCCTAGCCGGTTTGGCTCAGTGGACTGAGCAGCAGCCTGCAGACTGAAGGGTCTCAGATTTGATTCTAGTCAAGGGCACATGCCAGGGTTGGGAGCTCAATCCCCAGTGGGGACATGCTAATTAACTATATATATATATATATATATATATATATATATATATATATATATATATATATACCTTGTTTCCCCGAAAATAGACAGTGTCTTATATTAATTTTTGCTCCCAAAGATGCGCTAGGTCTTATTTTCAGGGGATGTCTTATTTTTCCATGAAGAAGAATACAGTACACATTTATTGTTAAATGAAAACAAAGGAAATTTATTACCTGTATACGGTACGGTAGTACGGTAATTGTCAACAGAAACAAGACAAACTATGAATCCTACAGTATCAAGAATTTACTCATTTATTCAATGACAATCATGTCATCATCTTCTGGAACATCATCAGAACAATCCAAATCCTGAATTTCCTGGTGAATTTCTTGTGACTCCATTTCTTTCAGAATCAGTGGACCAAATCTCTCATGTTTAGCCTAGGGGGGCCTTATTTTGGGGGGATGCCTTATATTTCGCTCAGAAGGAAACCTGTAAGTAGGTCTTATTTTCGGAGAATGTCTTATTTTTAGGGAAACACGGTAGCTTATACTTTATTAACTTTTAATAGAGTTTTAAAAGAAAGTTTTCAAACTCTAAAAAACAAATACATAAATATATAATGCATTAGTTTTATGATGTTTCCCCTTAAGAAAATATGCCAAAAAATTAAAACAAAAAAGCATGGGGGGAAAAAATCCACTTATTAAAGAATAAGGCAAGGGGGGGAATTAATGACAATCATATTAAGGATAGATATTCACCTTCTTTGGGCTGAGCCATAACTGGAGTCTGCGTTTCCTTTGTATATGTCACGATTTCCCGAGGAGGAAAGTCAACTTGTGTAATTTTAGCCATTCCAAGTTTGATAGGTCCTCGTCTAAATAAAGTTAACACAAATATTTTAAAATACAATAAATGATAAACTTAACTATATCAAACCATGTTATTTTAGAAACGTAGGAATTAAAACATTGTGTATCCAACACTGTGATTTAAATCCCTGATTTACTCAAGAAATTCTTAATGAACAATGAATTGGTTTTATCTTAACAAAAGAATTAGAAGGTAACAAAAACAAAAGATATTTCTGAATCATTCAAGGTATTTATTTTTTACTTTAAAAAGGCAAATAACTTATAGTTTCTTAGAGTAAATGTGTGGGAAATAACAGAGTAAGAAGATGGGGTTTTGTAGTGGTCTGCTTCATATGATTGATGATAAGAACTTTTTTTTTTTCTGCAAAGATATGATTCTGGACTGTTTTGAAAAATCAGATATATGAATCTCACTCAGACCACTTTCAGTTTCCTTCACCATTAGAAGACTTCACTTTTAAGACTGAAAAATAATTTTTAGTTCACAACCTTTTTTTCTACTTTGTAGAAATGGAGAATCATACAGTCCACTTAAATTTTAAAATGAAATATTTAAACTTAAATTGCTATATCTTCATGGTACATACTGTCCTTAAATCATATACGTACAAACTACAGTGCAGATACTTATACCTAAATTAAAGCAACAGATCTTTTGAATACCATAAAACTATTAAAGTCACTTCTACTTTAAATAGAGGGAAAACATTCTCTTTTGACAAACAGAAGAAAGTTGTAGCTGAGGAAAATGGACCAAATGAGAAATATCTTTTATTATGTATCTGGGAAACCTTTTCTTAGTTATTATATTAGATGTTTACATTTTAAACCAAATAAAGTATGCATCCAAACTCACCAAGAAGTTCTCAATTATGAAGCTGTTTTAAAAGGATATCTAACAAAGACATTGCTATAACTTCCAGAATATAAAGCAATATATCTGAATTATATATATCATTAATTTCTCTAAGCTCCTAAATGTGGGCGATAAGAAATTTTTAATGTGTTTTATACTTAAGGAATATATTAGCCTTAAAGAAAGAAAAAGAGCATAATCAAAGAATTAAATGAGAAATTTTAAATACATTTTGATAATCTAGTATTCTAAGAATAAAATTTGAAATAAAAAATATTATATTCTGATTTTCACGATGTGAACCATAAGAAAAATAAAGCACTCATGAGCACTCATCTGGGGAAAATGGTCAAGCCAACAACTATTAGGACAAGTACTAACTTGAGTACATTTACAACTTAGTAGTTAAAAATCACAATATTAGGACAAACAAAATATTCTAAGATTTAAAGGTAGAAGGATAGGGAGGTAAAACCTCACTTACCTAAAAAGCACTTTTCTAGAAAATAAGGAAGCATATGGGGGTGGGAGAACCTCAGGGCAGCCAACAGAGAGGCCCTGTAGTTAATATATATATAGTTTTCTCATCTGCAATTCAAGGTTTATTTATTCTTACTTTAGAAAGAATTCCAAAGGCATTGGTCATTTGCATGCTTTAGAAGATGCAAATTATCAAGGGAAAATAGCTCTCTCAGTCAGGCACGGTGACAGCAACTAACATTTATATTTTGCATTGGAGACTAGAATAAATGAGTGAATAAATGAACTAGTAAATAAATGAATAAACCAATAGCAGTCTGGGGCCATAGTTTAGAGACCAATAGCTTTGTTCTTCTGAAAGCATCACTGAATTTTAACATAGGAAAATAAATCAATATTTATAGTGAGTAACCCAGAAAAGGTTCAATCACATATAGAATATATATTAAAAGTCTGGGAACTTTGTAACACTTCTTTTAAAAACTTATATCGAAAATACAAAAGTAATAAAAGGAATCTGGACACTTAAATGGGCAGATTTAGGGTATCTATAATAGGAAATCAGATACATAGAATATCTTTTTCATGAAATGACAGAGGTATCACAATAAAATAACACTTTTCCTAACTATATACTGAATATTACAAATTTAAGCAAAATAAAAATTAGGACAGTTTCACAAAGAATCAGATTAATTATAAAAAAGGAAAGGTAATAAATCTATTCAATACCCCAAATCGGAATCTGAGTGAAGCTGAAGAACTGATGGATCTGTATCCCAATGCAGCGTCCTAAATGGTTGTAGGACAACCATGAAGCATTAGCAGAAAAGGCCATAAGTTAGTCAAGCAAATATACTCTATGAATAGCTAAAGTGCTGTTCACATTAAAAAAACCACATGTTCTGGTTAGTATTAAAAAAAAACACCAAGTATCACTCAACGCTCTAGTGCATGCAATAAGCATAATACAGTTAAGGATGCAAACATACAACCTAAAATGTTAAAAGATAGTATTTTCAGATTAAGGCAAACTATTATTGCACAATAATGGATAAGAACAGCCAAGCATTCAACAACACAAATAATACATTAGTTCTGGATGTTAACAAGTGAGACTATAAAAATAGTTTTAAATTTAAGTTTCCTAATAAAAGAAATTAGTAAAAAAAAAATCTATGTTAACATATTATAATCTTGCCCAAAACATTAAATGTGTGCAGGAAATTGTCATATTGGTAAAGGAAATGAGTCAACACATAAGCCTTTCCATAAGAAAGCCAAAGACTATTCCACTGGGATATAAAATAGCTAAAGTTTCCAAAAAGTGACCCTTTTGTAATTTATGGGTTAAGCACTGCCTTGGGCTTACATGTCATCTACTTTAGAAAGCAGCTACAGATTTCTTTCTCTAGGAAAAAAATAGACTTTTCCCAGAACAAATATTTTATGTTCAAAGGATTTACCTAAACTAAAATTTTGGAGATTATCCATCCTAAATAAATATTCAGTTGTGTTTTAAAGCCTTGCCTATTGGATCTTTTCCACTTAAGTGAGATCTAATCATTATTAAAACAAAAGGTACTTTGTCATTTTGGCATTCTCAAAGGTTAGCAATATATAAAATAATTATGTACAGTACTGTATGATGCTCATAGTCCATATTAAATAGTTAAGCACAATACATTCAGTGCTACCATTTTTTGTCAAAATATTAGCATCTCATATAAGTTACAACGTACAACTAAAATTGCCATAATATCCTATATAATAAAGAGGGAATATGCAAGTTGACTGTCACGCCCTCACAAGATGGCTGACTACAACCAGGCCTGCAGGGGAATTAGTAAGGGACAACCAAATGACTGGACAAGCAGGCTACATGGGGGCGACCAGGCTGGCACGGGGGGTGAGGAGGGGGCAGCTAGGTGCGACCAGAACAGCAGAGGGGACCAGTTGGAGGAGACTAGGCTGGCAGGGGGGGCAGTAAGAGACGACCAGGGGATGGGGGCAGTTAGGGGCAACCAGGCCGGCAGGGGGAGTACAGTTGGGGGCGACTAGGCTGGCAGGGAGGGCAATTGGGGGCGACCAGGCTGGCAGGGGGGCAGTAAGGGGTGATCAGGCCGGTAGGGATGGGGCAATTAGGAGTGACCAGGCTGGCAGAGAGGGGGCATTTGGGGGGCGACCTTGCCGGCAGCAGGGGGCAGTTAGGGGTGATCAGGCTGCATTTGGGGGGCGACCTGGCTGGCAGCAGGGGGCAGTTAGGGGTGATCAGGCTGGCACACAGAGGCAGTGAGGGGCTATCGTGCCAGCAGGTGGGGCAGTTATGGGCAACCAGGCAGGCAGGCAGGTGAGCGATTAGGAGCTAGTGGTCCAGGATTGTGTGAGGGATGTCCAATTGCCGGGCCTAACCTGGCAGTTGGACAACCCCTGAGAGGTCCCAGATTGGAGAGAGTACAGGCTGGGCTGAGGAGGACTTTCCCCCTCCCCCATGCACAAATTTCATGCACCAGGCCTCTAAGTTAAATATTAAAAAATGATTTTTGTACTTTACTCGCCTAAACAATTATCAATACAAACAATAAATTGACTTGAACTAGACGAATTCTTCATTTTGAAAATATAAAGACTTAAACAGTATTGTGTATATGCAAAGGAAGAGGAAATCAGAGTGAAAATTTACTTTGTACAAAGTAATGAACGGCAAAAAACTAAAGCTTTGTTAAACCAGAAGGGGTTCTATGAGATGCTCTCCAAGGAATGTTCTGTCAAAGCCTTTACATCATATGATAGCTAGCTAGAGCTGTTACCAGTGACATAGAACTCCTTGTTGAGGATGTCATGTTAGTCTAATATCAAGTAAAACTTTGAAAGGCTGTATAGAAAACAGACTAGCCCGGCCACACATCACATATGGGATTATTATTTATTAAAGGCATCTGCAGACATATAAAGTAAAATTACAATATAATCAAAAAGCCTGAGAGATAAACTGATCGAGAATGGAACAAAGGAATTAAGAGGCATGATTCCCCAATAGAATAATTGCCATCACCTAAATTTTAGAGATAATTCTGTGATTGAGAAAGTGAACTAGAAACCTAATGAAATATAATTTCCTAATCTGAAAAGTTAGAGAAATACCAATTTTTTTCCAGTTACTTAGCATTTTCTCAAGTCAATAATATCTCCACATACCCAAGGATACACTTCACACAAAAGACTTTTCCAAATAGATCAACCAACCTCATCCAGGCCCGAAATACCAATTTTTATAGCCTTTTATATTTATTCATGAATTACCATCAGCTCCAATAAAAATTTTTAACATTTAGAAATAGTGACATGTTTTGGTATCATATTTGATAATGTCTAATATATCTCTTTCATCTCTTCAAATGTACTAATCTTAGGCAGTTTTGGCTATCTCACACATCTTCATGCATTTTTCTGTGATATTTCTTCTTTTTCTCTTTATTCTTTCATTATTATCATGCCTGCTCAATTCGAGTTAATTCTGTTTCATTATTAGACACTATTCTTTTTCAAAGCCATTATATTTAGAAATGCTATTATTTTATTGGCAATAGTACCAATTAATAAACAATATCAATTACCTTTCCCCTATATAATCTGGAGGTGATTTAGTGGAAGTCTTAGTTTTCTACTCGCGCGCGTGTGTGTGTGTGTGTGTGTGTGTGTGTGTACATATATAATGATCATACTCAGCCCTCTTGAAAATTAATATTTATAATGAGTTCAAAGGAGACAATGTATGCACTAAGATCAAAACGGTATGTATATCATCTCATTAAAAAAGAGAAAATTTGCCCTAGCCAGTTTGGCTCAGTGGACAGAGCTTCGGCCAGCAGACTGAAGGGTGGTAGAGTCAGAGGTTCGATTCTGGTCCAGGGCACATGCCTGGGTAAACTCAATCCACAGTAGGGGGCATGCAGGAGGCACCAGTCAATGATTCTCTCTCTCCCTCTCCTTTTCTCTCTGAAATCAATCAATCAAACGAATGAATGAATGAATGAATGAATGAATGAATAAATTGCCTTCCCTGTTAACCTTAGAAAAACTAATTTTGTATTCATTCTCCAATAAGAACAAATACCCCCTTAAAGATATTTAAATACCTATTTTCTTATTTTACAACTTATTAAAAATCTACACTTTAAACAGAAGTTAGCATACTATCATTAGAACTTTTCAATACAGTGAATAACATCCTTAATTTTTAACAATTGACAATAGTATATGAGTTTCAGGTATACAACATAGTTTGCAACAGTGATATACCTTACAAAGTGATCACATGGTAAGTCTAGTATCACCTGTCATTACACAAAATTATTACCATACTACTAACACTATTCTCTAGCTGTGTATCACATTCCTGTCATTTATTTTATAACTAGAAATTTGTACCTCTTATGCCCTTTCATCTTTTTCCCTCCCACTTTTCCCCACTTCCGTATGGCAACCATCAGTTTGTTCTCTGTATTATGAGTTTGTTTCTGTTTTGTTTGCTCAGTTGTTTTTTCAGATTCCACATGCAAGTGAAATCATATTTATCGTCCTCTCTCTGACTTATTTCACTTAGCATAATAGCCTCTAAGCCCATCCATGTTGGCACAAATGGTAAGATGTCATTCTTTTTCATGTATGTATACCATGCCTTCTTTACCCATATATTGATGAACAATTAGACTGCTCCCATATTTTAGCTATTGTGAATAATGACACTATTATAATAGGAATGCATGTTCAAATTAATGTTTTCATTTTCTTTGGATAGATACCCAGGAATGAAGTTGCTGGATCACAGAGCAGTGCTATTTTTTGTTTTTGAGGGATCTCCACACTGTTTTCCATGGTGGCTGCATCAATTTGCAATCCCACCAACAGGGCAGGGCTCCCTTTTCTACATGTCCTCACCAGTACTTATTATGTATTGTCTTTCTGAGGTGACAGCTCAGATAGTTTTGATTTGCATTTCCATTATCATTAATGATGTTGAGCATATTTTCATGTGTCAGTTGGCTCATATCTTCTTTGGAGAAATATCTATTCAGGTCCTCTGCCCATTTTTTAGCTACATTGTTTTTTGATGTTGAGTTTATGAATTCTTTATATAATTTAGATATCAGACATCATTTGTGAATATCTTCTCCCATAAATTAATGATGTAATCACTAAAATGTAAATATATTATATACATAAAAATAATATATAGTATCAAATAAAGAAATTGAATATAATTATTTTTTTATTTTGGGAAAATTTTTACTATGATAATGTTGAAGAAGGAAAAAAAGCCTTCACTTAAAAATACCACTTGCTTATCAGCAAAAGAATACTAACATATTTGTATAAAAACACAGAAGTTTGAGTATTTAAAAAATTAATTCAGCCTTAAAGATAAATTTAGGCTAAATAATCTTTTAATACATACTTTTTTTTTAAGTTAACAGTATTTCTAAAAAGAAAGCTTTGATTTTTCTTTGTTTTAAATATATTTTTATTGGTTTCAGAGAGAAAGGAAGAGGGAGAGATAGAAACATCAATGATGAGAGAGAGTCATTGATTGGCTGCCTCCTGCACACCCACCACTGGGGATGGAGCCCTGCAATCCAGACATGTGCTCTTGACCAGAATCCAATCTGGAACCCTTCAGTCCGCAGGCCGATGCTCTATCCACTGAGCCAAACCAGCTTTGCCTAATTTTTCTTAAATGAAAGGAGTTATGTCATTTACCTCCAATGACAGTATTGCTTTGATTTGCAATTTTGGTTCTATATACAGAACAGTTTTGGAAAACACATCTCAAATTCAAACTGAAACTCTTGTGTCTTCTAATTATTAATGATAACCTAATTATTTAGGAATAATTAGTACCAAGTTTCAGATTATCTAGCTCTCTTGCTCCTCTTTTTCTGGTTCTGTTTTTAGATACTCATTACTTCTTTGTAAGTTCAATTAGAAGGGATCAGGTACAACAAAGATAAAACTTTTCAGTTTATTTATTTTTTTAAAGGTGTATTAAAAGATTCTCCTATGAAGGATATATAATTTCCTGGCCTAAAACAAAGATTCTAAATAAAGATTTTTAACCTATGTTTAATCTCATTTCAGCTGTCACAAGAAATAAAAAAGTATGATGTTATTAAAAACGTGCTATTATTGTGTGTGTGTGTGTGTGTGTGTGTGTGTGTGTGTGTGTGTGACAGAAAAAGAAAGAAGAGGGAGAGGGAGGGAGGAGAGAGGGAGAGAAAAAAGGAATAATAATTTTCCCAACATAATTTTTGGAAAGAAGCTGAAATCTTACTGAATTTTTGAAAAGCAAGATCCAACAAGTGTGCAGGATCCTAAAACAACATGAAATACAGTTTCACAAAGAAGATGGTAATTTAGGAAAACTTGGCAGTAAGCACTTATCTTTTTTCATTGAGATATAATTGACACATAGCTTTATATTAGTTTCAGGCACACAATGTAATGATTTTATATTCGTATATATTGTGAAATGATCACCACAAAACATCTAGTTATCATCATCACCACACAAATTTCTTTTTCTTGTGATGAGAACTTTTTAAAGATTAACTCTTAGCGATTTTCAAATATGCAATACATTAACTACAGTCGTCATATATACATCACATCCCCATGACCCACTTACTCATAACTGGAAGTTTGGACCTTTTGACTCTCTCACCCATTTCACATACCTCCTGTCCCTTGCCCCTCCCCTCGCCCCATCTGAGCAGCCACCAATGTGTCCTATGAGCATATTTATCTTTTAAGATTCCACATTGAAGTGAGATTATATGATTATTTATCTTCCTCTGTCTTATTTTACTTAGCATGATGTCCTCAAGGCAGTGAAAAACTTAATGTTTTCTTATCAGTTATTCCTTATTCTTGATATTTTAGGCATTATTATTTTCTATCTTAATCAGAACTAGTAAATTAATAGAACAGAACTGGGCTATGTAATTGTACTGTTAAGATTTTCAATTACTGAATGGGAAATTAAGCACAATAGAAAGGTTTTATGCTATACTCCAGTCATATATTAAAGTTTGCTTAAACAGAAAACATTTAAATTAACACGCCTACTTTAATATAATTAGCATAAATTCTGTTAACTATTCAATATTAAATTAATCAAGTGTATAGTTGAAATATTGTGAAGAAAAAATTTCCCTCAATTTACAACAATTTCTGTACCATTTAGATCTCAAAATATTAAGACAAACTTCAACATAACTATTTAGAATCCCTCTAAAGCACCTGGGCACTAAATGTATTTTATTTTTTAAAATATTAAAAGAAAATTACTATACCTGGATCCCACTGCGCCATCTCCAGAGTCTTGGCTTCCAGCTTCACTCGGTGTGCTCACAGATTTGGAGGATGGAGACATAGGAGGAGGGACTAAATAGTGAAACAGACAGGTATCCGCTGTTACTACACGGAGAGGTTGCTCAGCTTATGACGTTTCAAAATTAATTTAACATGAAGTAATTAACAAAAAAGGAAAAATAATGGCAAACCAAAAAACAAAATACATGAAGGAAAATGAACAGTAGAAAGAAGAGGAGAAAGACAAAGTTAACAATGCATGCTGACGATCATGCAATTTCTCTGGCAAAATGCATTTGGGCTTTATATTTTTTTAAAAGCAAGGTTACAGAAGGATGCATCTTCGTCTCAGCCAATACCAAATGTGGGCACTAATTTTCAAAGGAGAGCATTCCTTCTCCCCTTTCTAATTTTCCACCTTTAAGATCACCAGAGTAAAATAATACTTATAATTGCTGTCAATATCAAAACTCTAGAATATGCTTCAAAAGTTATTAACTCTGGTTTTCTGAGATTTATTTTTAAAGTTAATTTTTACTTAATACTTCTTTTTTTCAAAAATTTCTTAACTGTTTAACTTTCCCCCACCGAAAAATAAAAGCCAATTTAGAGAATGACTAGCTACAGGAATGACTCCTTTAAAATGTCCATTAGCTTCCAGCAATTTGGGTGAAAAGTGCAAACAGGCCATAAAACAGCATGCCTTCTGGACATGACGCATAACATAAAGTGATGCATGCAACTGAAACAAGGCAAGACTTATGGTAACTTCCTTACCCCAGTATTCAGAAAAAACTGAAGTGTACAGACAAAGATACAGACACCCAAAATATTCTTAATCCCTTCTTATAAAAAAATACACATTTTTCATAATATATAAAACAAACAGCAAATGCTTTCCCCTACACTGTCATTTATAACATCATATACCAACAGTTGAGCGTGCATATTTCATGCTTTCACATTTGTAAAACTTTTTGATTACCATTGCAGAGAGTATAAGAGGATCATTACTGCCATCTTCTGGTTAAATTTTACCACAATTTCCCCAATCCCAAGTATCTTTTAAAAATAATTTTTTAATGACATACATTTTATGTTGAGCTGTAAGCCCTTCTTTTACTACTGAAAAGAAGGTAAGTTCCCAGTTATATAGGAACTAAAGAAATATGTACTTAATTAAAAGTCTGTTTTTTAAAGTCACAGTCACTGAACCCTTAAAATTATGTTAAATGTTTATACATGCTGCAGTAGAAACAGTGGGTTTGCTAGTCTAACAAGTTTAGTATGACAAATTACATCTTAAAACATAGGTGCACAACTGAACACCTTATTTTTTCAGTGGCAAATTCTATTGGTAACCAGTAAGATTAAAAGGGAAAAAATCATAGCTAGAATGTTCCCTGAGATAGTAATGAACTATTACTTAAATTCCAAAGGACTTTAAACGCAAAATCAAATGTTTCTAACTTTGTGATTAAATCTCTCAGAAACAATGATAAAACCAAATCACTTTCATACACAGGGTGTCCCCAAAAAATATATGCACACTTGATCAGCTGAATTTTGAAAACAAAATATAGTTTAATAAACACTGCCTTTATTCAGTATATGTATACATTTTGGGTGGATACCCTATAGTAGGCATGCAGATGGCACTATGCTAAGTGCTACATGTATGACTCAAAGTAGGTAAAAAAAAATATGTTATTACCCCTTTCTAGTGACTTCAAGTATCAATCAATCCATTCAATAAGTTCAATAATATCTTTCTTGGTTTAGACTACATTTAAAATATATAGAGCCGAAACCGGTTTGGCTCAGTGGATAGAGCGACAGCCTGTGGACTGAAGAGTCCTGGGTTCGATTCTGGTCAAAGGCATGTACATTGGTTGCAGACATATCCCCAGTGGGGGGTGTGCAGGAGGCAGCTGATCAATGTTCTCTCTCATTGATGTTTCTAGCTCTCTATCTCTCTCTATTCCTCTCTGTAAAAACATCAATAAAATATATTTAAATATATATATATATATATATATATAGAGAGAGAGAGAGAGAGAGAGAGAGAGAGAGAGAGAGAGAGAGAGAGAGAAACCAAGATGGCGGCATAGGTAAACACTTGAACTTGCTGCCTCACACAACCACTTCAAAATTACGACTAAAAGACAAAATGGACATCATCCAGAACCACAGGAAGGCTGGCTGAGTGGAAAAGCACACTGAGATTCAGAGGAAGTGTGAAAGTAAATGCGGAGGGACAGAGGCAAGTGTGTGGAAAGGGCTGGCAACTGAGGACATGGTTGTCTTTTTCAATCGGGAGGAAGACACAAGCTCCCGATCGCTCTGAGTGCCAGTTACGGGCAAGACTCTGGGGACCCAGACTCATACGGAGGAAACTAGCCCCAATCATCCTGATCACAACCTCCCTCAGCCTCTCCCACTCCCCAGCTAGCCAACCTCCGGCAGACCCTTCCTCCAGCCAGCTGGCCTCAATTGGGACGGGGTGAGTTGGCACGGATCACAGGCCAGGCTGAGGGACCCCACCTGTGCACGAATTCGTGCATCAGGCCTCTAGTTCCCAAATAAAATACTAACAAAATCTAGCAATGTGTAAGAAAAATAGTATCTCAAAGCTATCGTATGTTGGTTTTATTGCAAAATGTAAATATGCTTTTTACATTAGAAAACATACCAATATAAATATATCATCATATATATTTAAAGGAAAACAAAGCATATTTTCATCTCCAAATATGAAGAGACCTATGAGGTAAGAAAATATTTTGGTGGCTTTAAAGAACATCCACAAATTCTATGTGAATGTGGGCTGGACTTAGTGACTCTCTTGCGATGGACAGAATGTGGCAGCAGGGATGCTGTGGGACTGCCAAGGGTACGCCATAAAAAGGACAGCCTCCTCCTGGCTCTCTGCCTCTCTCAGATTGCTCACTCTGGGAGAGCCCAGCTGGCCTGCTGCAAGGATACTCAAACAGTTCTGTGAAGTGGCCCGCAGAGGGGTACTCAGCCCTCCCTTGCCAACACCAACTTGCCAGCCATGGGACTGAGCCATCTTGAAAGCAAATCCTCTAGCCCCAGTCAACACCGCAGTTGACTACAACTCTAACATCTTGACTTCAACCCCATGAGAGTCCTGAGATAGAACCACTCAACTAAGCTACTATTAAATTCCTGACTGACAAAAACTGAGAGATAATCAACGTTTTTTATTGTTCTGTGCGCTAAAAAAAAAAAAAAAAAAAAAAAAAAAAAAAAAAAAAAAAAAAAAGCCAACCTGATAAAAAAAAAAAGAAATAGAAAACTTAAATAGACTAAAATCATTAAGAACCTGAAACGGTGAAAAAAAACAAAAAACAAAAACAAAGCTCCTGTTGTCCACCACCCCTGGGGGAATAAATTATAATCCCAGGCAGCTTTACAGTTCAATTTTATCAAATTTTTAAGGAACAGGTAATACCTATCCTTTACAAGTTGTACTATAAAACAGCAAAAGGGAAAGCTGTACAATTTATTTTAAATGAGAATGGCCACTTAATATGGGCAGTACGAGAATATTACAGCAAAGTCCTAAAACACACACATACACACACACACACACCCTTATCTGCCACTCCTTGGAAGTGACTATTAGTAATTAAAGTGAAAAGTTAAGCATGTCTCATGCTTTTCTAACAGAAAATGCAGTTAGAGTAACCACATAGCATTATTTATGGAGGGAAAGCTCTCCATTATAGAATGAGACACACAGTATAATGCATGTATGTATGTGAAACATATACATATAGATATATGAAAATTTGAAAAATGTAAACACGTATAGGACAGATCAAAAGGGTGTATGTGAAAAATGCAAAAGTATTTAATGCGAGACTGGGAAGAAGAATGGAGATGAGATATAAGGGAGAAACACACACACATATGCACACAACTAAAGAATGATCTTTCAAGAACTGATGATGGAGGTGGGCAATAAATTAATAAATATGTGCAGGTGAATGCAGTTAAATGGATGTCTTACAAAGAACAGAAAAGGGGGGAAAATCCTACAGGAAACAAACAAAAGCCAAAAGCTCAGAAAAAAAAAAAGATTATTCAAAGACTAAGCAACTAATAAGCACCTTGGTATTTTTTAAACAAGAAAAGAGTGTTCCGATTCATTTACTTTTAAAATCACAATATGCAACATAAGCTTATTAAACATTAATATATTTCAATCTTCACACTCTACAATAAGAAAAAGGCAAATGAGCTGAAAGAAATAACAATTAAGCAGACCATGAGAGAAACCAGCTTTTTCATCTTCAAACCTTTTAGAAATATCAGCTCTAAGGACTATTTGTTGTAGTTTTGCAACAGGTATACAGCAGTTACTATCTTTGGTATTTGTTCCCTGGACTAGATGAATTCTGCCCACCAGCTAACCCTGAAATTTTAGGTCCCTAAAGGACAATGACCATGTCAAACTAAAATACCATGTAAAAGCACCCAGCTCAAAATTATTTTAAGTAAGCACGTAATGCTTTCTGATATGTAACTAGATTATCCTCAGTACCTCTTCTATTTCAGCCTTTTGGTCTAGCACTGCTATCAAAATGAAGAACACAGAAAAAGAATGTGACTAAGTCAGATCACTGCCAAAAGGATGTACCAATATTCTTTCCCTTTTTCCCACTGAGAACAGAAGGCTATAAGCTTCTCCTTCCACTCCTATACTTGTGAATACTAATATACCTTTAGAATTTTGATTATCTACACCTCCATCTAACCTACAGCAAGAAATGTAGAATTAAAATAAAAAATCACAGTCATCTTTAAGGTTAATACAGTATGGCACAGAAAACTTGATCAACAAATACTTGTTGAAATAAATTACTGATTTAATGAGAAAAGTTAATTGATGGTTCGTTTATGTTAATAAACATAATTAACCTTGCAGCTCTCCTAACAAAATAACCATGTATTAGCACATCTGAAAAAAGGCAATTCCAAATAAAGGTTGAGATTAATAATTTTTAAGATACACGAATAAGAAAAATATGCAAAATATATTGTCAACTCACTTATCTTGGGTACATCTGAGTGGAATGTATGTCTCTAATGAATGGATATATTCTTATCCTTACCAATGGGGGATTCTGGAGTTAGCCCCATGCTTTGAAGCAATGCTTCAGCTTCTCTTCTTTTTTTTTCAAGATCTGATTCTTCTTGCACAGGAGCAACTGCTTCCTTCTTCTGATCAGTCTAAAATTTTTAAGTTAAAAACTTAAGTTTATATATGGTACACACCATTTGTTTGCAAAACACGTATTTTGAACAGACATTATACTAATAAAGTGAAAACCATTCTCAACAGAGTTCTAGTAAGCAATCTTCAAATGGTATGTACTAACTTGATTCATTTTTTATATATAATCAAAGAGCTCCCACAAAAATTTTCCTAATAGGTAAATTCTAAAAGTACAGTCAACTTCTAATTATCTACAGTATTAAATTGCTATCCACAGTTAGGAATTGTGAAACTCTCCCCTGTGGCATAAAAACTTAGACATAAATACCACAATACTATGAAAAAAAATGGAGTTATTTAAAAGATAACAAATTTTAACTAAATGGACAATTTGATTTGTTGAAAACAGTATGGTACCTCAAACTTCTGTATGAAATATTCATTGTATTTATGCAACTTTATGTAAGGATGTTTATAAAAAATGCATATGGAGAAAAGTTTTACAGTTGTTTTTTTAACTATAGTTATTAACCTATATAAAAAAAGCCCAGCGATTGAATGGCAGAACGACCAGTCAACCAGTTGCTATGACACAAATTGACTACCCGGGGGCAGACACTCAACACAGGAGCTGCCCCCTGGTGGTCAGAGTGCTCCCACAGTGGGAAGGCTGCTAGGCTGACCCGGATGAGCAGCACTCCCACAACGGGCCAATCCACACAGGCCACGCCCCCTCATCAGTGCACAAATTCTGTGCACCGGCCTCTAGGTCATGATAAAAATATGGCTGGGTTTGGTAAAATTCACTTTTGTATAGTTTCAAAACATTTTTTAAATTAAGTTTTTGCCGAGTTTTATTTTAGACATTTATAATTTTAGCAAAATCTTCCAGTTAAACTAAAGAAACCTCAATACTCTCAGATCATCCAAAACATTTCAAGTGAATATTAAGCCTTCTGGGAAAAGTTAAATACAGTATTGTCCCCTTATCCACAGTTTTACTTTCCACACTCTCAGCTACCTGTAGTTAATCTTGGTCTGAAAATATTAAATGGAAAATTCTAGAAATGAGTAATTTGTACGTTTAAATTGCATGCTGTTCTGAATAGCATGATGAAATCTTGCTCTGTTTTACTCAGTTCAGCCTGAGATGTGAATCATCCCTTTTTTCCAGTAAATATGCTAATCACCTGTAAGTCACTTAGTAACAGTCTTGGCTATTAGATCGACTATCATGGTGTTGAAATGCTTGTGTTCAAGAAACTCTTATTTTATTTAATAACTAGAGGCCGGTGCATGAATTTGTGCATGGGTGGGGTTCCCAGGGGACTGGTGGTGGTGGTGTTAGGACATGACTGGCCCTCTGAGTGGGTGGTGGGATGCCCTTGCTGGCCCGGGATCCGGATCCATCCCACTGATGTTTGCACTGGTTGTCAGGAACCACCTGGCAGCCGCTTTTGTATTGTTTCTTCCTTGTGGAGCATCTAGGGAAAAGAAGTGGCTGTGGTGCCTGAGGCCGACTCCCAGGCCGTCAGTGGTGCTGTCAGGATCATGCCAGCGGCACTGGTCCATCAGTGTCTGGCCTGTTCTCTGGAGATTGGACCTGCCGGACTACTGAGGGAGTGAGTGACTGCTGCTGGACTGGTGAGCTGCTGGGATGGGTCAGTCAGCTGAGCAGCGCTCCCATGTGGGAATGCACTGACCACCAGGGGGCAGCTCCTGCACCGACTGGTCAACCAGTCACTCTGGTCATTTGGTCATAACAGTTGCTTAGGCTTATATAAACTAATGGCCTGGTACATGAAATTTGTGCAGGAGGTGTGTGTCCCTCAGCCTGTACTCTCTCCAACCTGGGACCCTCAGGGGATGTCCAATTGCTGGTTTAGGTCAGATCTTGTGGGACCAGGCCTAAATCAGCAGTTGGACATCCCTTTCGCAATCCGGGACCGCTAGCTCCTAACCACTCACCTGCCTGCCTGCCTGATTGCCCCTAACTACTTTGCCTGCTGGCCTGCTCACCCCCAACTGCCACCCCCTGCTGGCTTGATCACCTCCACCTGTTCCCCCTGCAGACCTGATCGCCCCCAACTGCCCCCCTGCTGGCTTGCTTGCCTCCAACTGCCCTCCCTGCTAGCCTGATTGCCCCCAACTGCTGCCCTCCCCTGCTGGCCTGATCACCCCTAACCACCTCTGCCTCAGCCATACTACCATGGCTTTCTCCAGAAGGACATCTGGAAGGTCTCCGGTCTAATTAGCATATTACCCTTTTATTAGTATAGATGTCCCAAACCAGCTCTGGTCAGTTTGGTTCAGTGGCTATAGCAACAGCCTGTGCTCTAAAGGGTCCCAGGTTTGATTCAGGTGTAAGGCATGTACCTCGGCTGTAAGCTCGATCCTCAGCCCTGGTTGGGCACATGCAGGAGGCAACCAACTGATGTCTCTCTCTCACATCGATGCTTCTCTTGCTCTCTGTCTCTCCCTTTCCCTTCAACTCTCTCTAAAAATCAACGGAAATAAATATTCTTGGGGGAGGATTAACAACAACAACAAAATAATAATAATGTCTCAAACCACATTAGTGACACAGGCATTTCAGATATGCCAAAGAGAAGCCATAAAATGCATCCTTTAAGTGAAAAGGTGAAAGTTCTCAACTTAATAAAGAAAAACAATTGTATGCTGAGGTTGCTAAGATCTATTCTATGGTAAGAATGAATATTCTATCTGTGAAATTGTAAAAAATGAAAAAGAAATTTGTAGTAGTTTGTTAAGAGAACACATTCACATAACTTTTATTACAGTATATTATTATAATTGTTCTATTTTCGAGACTGGTTTGGCTCAGTGGATAGAGCGTCGGCCTGCGGACTGAAAAGTCCCGGGTTTGATTCCGGTCAAGGGCATGTACCTTGGTTGTGTGCACATCCCCAGTAGGGGGTGTGCAAGAGGCAGCTGGTTGATGTTTCTCTCTCATCGAAGTTTCTAACTCTCTATCCCCCTCAATTCCTCTCTGTGTAAAATCAATAAAATATATTTAAAAAATAATAATTGTTCTATTTTTATCACAGTTATGGACTGCATTATGTTTCAGTCAACAATAATCCAGATATACAACAGTGGTCCCATAAGATTATAATGGAGCTGAAAAATTGCTACCTCCTAGTGATGTCATAGTGGAATGCATTAAGCATGTGTTTGTGGTGATGCTGGTGTAAACAAACCTACTGTACTTTAAGTCAGATGAAAGTATAGCACATATAATTATGCATAGTACATAACTCTTGATAATAAGTGACTATGTTAATGGTTTAAGTATTTACTATACTTTTTATCATTTTAGAGTGTAATATTTCTATTTATAAACAATGATTTTACTGTAAAACAGAATGCATATTACACTGGCAGGAGCCTTCATACATCTCTTATATTTACATGTATGTACCATGTACTTACACGTATGTACTATGCAGACTATGTCATTTTGGTTTGTACAGTAACATGCTTGTGGCGTAGGAGCAATAGGCTGTACCATATATCCAAGGTGGGTAATGGGCTATACCACCTAAGTTTGTGTAAGTAACAATGATATTTGCACAAGGATGAAACTGCCTAATGACAAATTTCTTAGAACATATTCCCATCATTAAGTAGTGCCTGACTATGTTAATCTCTTACTATGCCTAACTTCTAAATTAAACTTTACCATAGGTCCATATGTATGGGAAAAAACATAGTATTTATAGGGTTTGGTATTATCTGAGGTTTCAGGCATCCACTGGGTGTCTTGGAACCTTATCCCTTAAAGAAGAAAAGGCTACTGTATACCTCAAATGCCTATTTTGATCAGAGAGTTATTACTCGTACAATTGTCTGCAGTGAATTTTGTTAGTCATGATATTCTATGATGCCATTTTAACTTAAAAAATTCATCAGAAAATTTCGTTAAAACAGAATTAGTCAAACAGGCTATATTATCAAGTTGACACTTTACCTATATACATATAACATATTATAGACTCATTGTTTAATATTAACACTTGTAATGTTTTAAAAACTTCAAATTAAATATATAAAACATGTAACTGAGAGCCCTTAGAGGCCACTTATGACCATCCTTAGAAAACAAAAACCAAATTTGCTCTCAACATTGAAAGGCTTAAATAGATATCTACCAGACAGCTTTCAACACCCCCCGCCCCCCCACATTTCATGGACTGTTTTTTGTTGTTGTTTCTTTTTTAAAAATTTTTGTATTTTTTTTAATAAACCTTTATTGTTCATATTATTATAAAAGTTCCTCATTTTTCCCCCCCTCCACCAGGTTCCTAACCCACACTCTGCTCTTTCCCCACCCCCCAGTGTCCTCATCCATAGGGGCACAGTTTATGTTCAGTCTCTTCCCGCACCCTCCACTCCTCTTTTCCCTGAGAATCATCAGTCCATTCTCCTTCCATACTTCTGATTCTATTATATTCAACAGTTAATATTGTTCATCAGATTTTTTTTAATTCCCTTGGTTTTTAGATTCACTTGTTGATAGTTACGTATTTGTTGTTCATAATTTTTATCTTTATTTTCTTTCTCTTCCAAAAGAACCCCCTTCAACAATTCATATAATTCTGGTTTGGCGGCGATGAACTCCTTTAGCTTTTTTTTATTAGTGAAGCTCTTTATCTGGCTTTCGATTCTGAATGATAGCTTTGCTGGGTAGAGTATTCTTGGCTGTAGGTTCTTGCTATTCATCGCCTTGAATATTTCTTGCCATTCCCGTCTGGCCTGCATGGTTTCTGTTGAGAAATCAGCTGACAATTGTATGGGTGCTCCTTTATAGGTAACTATCTGTTTCTCTCTTGCTGCTTTTAATATTCTCCCTTTGTCTTTTGCTCTTGGAATTTTAATTATGATGTGTCTTGGTGTGGTCCTCTTTGGAATCCTTTTGTTTGAGGTTCTGTGCACTTCCTGACTTGTAGGTCTAATTCTTTCACCAGGTTGGGGAAGTTTTCTGTCACTATTTCTTTCAGTATGTTTTCGGTATCTTGCTCTCTCTCTTCTTCTGGGACTCCCATAATTCTGATGTTGGTTCGCTTGAAGTTGTCCCAGAGGTTTCTTACATTATCTTCAACTTTCTGGATTCTCTTGCCTTCTTGCTTCTGCGGAGGAGTGTCTTCTGGCTCTTTATGTTCCAAATCTTTGACTTAATTCTTGCAAATTTCCATTCTGTTTTTAGGACTCTGTATAATATTTTTTATTTCAGACAATGTATTCTTTATTTCTTGTTGATCCCCTATCATTTCTTGTTGATTCCTTATTATTTGTAGTTGATCCCTTTTCATATCATCATAGATCTTATTGACCTTTTCTAGGAAATTCTTGAAAAACCTTATAAGCATGGTTTTTGAACTCTATATCCAGTCGCTTTTTGTCTTCCATTTCTTTCGTTTGTGATCTGTTTCCTTGTCTCGGCATTTTCACAGCTTCCCTGATTTGGTAGCCCTAAAAGTCTCTGTGTTCAGCGTGGATGGGGCGGTGTTTCAGGGTGGAGTCTACAGCTTTGGCTTCCGTCAGCCATGCCCTATGCGGCTCCTGAGTCTCAGTATTCCTCAGGGTCCTTCAGTACTCGTTGCAAGTACCTCTGAGAGAAAGGTGCCCTCGAGTTTTGCCTGCTACCAAACAGTCTAGGCTTTCCCCCAATGAGCCTGGAACTGGGGTTCAGTTCAGTTGGAAGTGGGGTTCAGAGCAGTCTGGAGCTTTTGTCTCCTTCCCGCTAGGACAATCCAGCGGCACAGTCAACCGCCCGTTCTCTGCGAGCAATGTGCGCGCTTCCGGGACTTCCTTTCGCCGCTCCCCTGGGTTTCCGCCATACACCCCAGGCTCCCTCTGTATGAGCCTGGGTCCCCTGGGTCTGGCCTATAACTGGGGCTCAGCACAGTCCAGAGCTTTTGTCTCCTTCCCACTAGGGCAATCTAGCAGCAGAGTCAACAGTCCGTCCTCTGTGCGTAATGTGCGCGCCTCTAGGGGCTCTGCCTTTCACCGCTCCCCTGAGATTCCGCCTCACAGCCCAGGCTCCCTCTATAAGAGCCTGGGTCCCCAGAGTCTGGCCTAGAACTGGGGTTCAGTGCTGTCAGATCTGGGGTTCAGCACAGTCCGGAGCTTTTATCTCCTTCCCACTAGGGAAAGCCAATCAGGCACTCAGCCTCCCCCTCCTCTCCAGCTCCGTCCTCCCTTCGCACACGTGTCTCTGTACCTTAGGCTTTTACAGCTCCTCTAATTTTCCTTCTGGTTTTCTCTTTCCTTCTCATTGTAGAATTTCCAGTCAGTCCACTTTCCTGTAGTTCTGGGTAATGTCCATTTTGTATTTTAGTTGTATTTTATTGAAATTGTTGTGTGAGGCTGCAGTTAGGTGTTACCTATACCGCCATCTTGGATTCTCTCCCAGATAGCTTTTAATGAAATAACTAAAAGCTTTAACTCACTTATAATAATGTATCACAGAAAGGTTCAGAGAACACTAGAAAATTCTTCAATTATAGGCCTTCACAGTATCATTGCAATGACACATATAAATCACATCATTGATTTTTTTTTATTACTATTTTTATTTTTCCCCTAAGAGATTCCTGTAAGTCTTGGCTATTTTTTAGGCTATCACATAGAAAAACTTGGTACAAATGTCACAGGACAAATTACCTTACATTGGCCATTTAAAACATATCTGTAATATCTCCAGCTCAGGGTCAATGTACATTTTCAATACATGATTAAATGGTGATGTCAAAAATCAGAATACATAAGTACCTGGTCTACCTTTATCAAACCCATAACTCGATAAAAATATTTCAGTGACTATCTATATTATAAAAGACCAGTGGCTATAATGCCGTAATGCCTGAACAACCAAATGAAGGGTCACCAGAAGGTATATGGAGCATCTCTCAGACCCTCCTCCACAGCCCACAGGCTCCGATCACAAGCTGGCAGCCGGCAGGTGGGCGGGGCCATGTGATATCGCACAATGGGCCTCTAGTTCATGATAAAAGGAGATAAAAACAAATCCCCTAACCAATTAAATATTCTATTTTATATTTCTCTTTGTCATTAAAATTATCTTGACAGATTATTAGCAGTTCAGGCTAGTAAAACTTTCAGGTAAATAGGTTCAAAATCTAAACTAAGTTATATACTGTAGATGCCATGTTTTATGAGCTGATGCCCCTTACTTTATATAATAAATTCCTAGAAAACTAAATACATATGTAAGTTGAACTTTTATAAATTAAAACTTAGATATGCATAATTCTACATGAAATATTTTTACTTAAAAAGTTATATTTTAATTGATCACTTTTGATCAGTTTTATCATTTCTGGTACTATCTGCAGTTTCACACATCCACTGGGGGTCTTGGACCCCACAGATAAGAGACCTACTGTACATCTCAAATTCCCATATTGACTATTACTATTACTCATACAACTGTCTACAATGAATTTTGTTAGTCAGACCTGATTTCTTTAAAGTCAGATTCACTTGTAGTGCTATATTTTGCAGTCACAACTGCTGGACTTAAAAAAAAAAAAAAAAAAAAAAAAACTATTCTGAAAGTTTTTCATAAAGGTATTAAGTACTTGAAATAAAAATCCAATTATTTTATATTGTTTATTTTTAAAAATCATACATACTTCCTTCTTTTTCCTTTCTTCTTCTTTTCTCTTCTTTTCCTCTCTGATTTGGGCCAGCCGCTGCTTCTTACGTTCCAGCTCTGCCTTTAATTCACTTTTGTCCGACATGTTTGTGACCTTAAGAAGCATGTAATCATATACAATCATCATTATACTGGTAAAAGCAGCACTCTTCAAAAATCTGTCTTCAATAAATGTCTCAAGAGGCCATGTAGTTCAATGCTATCTAAAGAGAACATGTAGCCCTAACCAGTTTGGCCCAGTGGATAGAGCGTCCACCTGGGGACCGAAAGATCCCAGGTTCAATTCTGGTCAAGGGCATGTACCTTGGTTGCAGGCACATCCCCAGTAGGGTGTGTGCAGGAGGCAGCTGATGGATGTTTCTAACTCTATACTTCTCCCTTCCTTTCTGTAAGAAATCAATAAAATATATTTAAAAAATAAAAACGAAAACATGTAAACTCTAATTTTAAAACAATGGAGGCTTATAAATTACTAAGATTTGAAAAACATTATGAACAAACATATATAAAAAATATTATTCAAGCTAGCACATTGCTCTTTAATGTTTACATGCCCGAATGTTAACACAATACCTGGCTCTTAAAACAGAGGACATGGATTGGCATTAAGAAGCTTAACAGGCTACACGATACAGATCAAATCTATTACCAGAGTTTTTCATTCATTCCTAGAAATTTGATAAAAAACGACGTGTGGTCACACACAACAGTCCCGTAAACTCTAGAAGTGCAATGTAATAGTATTTAGGACAAGCAAAACACAAAAATAACCACCATTTGCTATCAAGTATACTTAGTTACAGTAAATGCATGCTTAGCCAAAGCCCAGAAACCAAGTCCTGCCGGCTTAACTATTAATACATCCAGCTGACCGGCCCGCGCATCCTCCCCGGAGCCCGAGCCTCACTGACACACTGACACACTGACACTGACACTGACACACACACACACACACACACACACACACACACTCACACACACGTTCACTTTCTTAAAACTCGAGGAAGGAAGAGAATGTCTCTGGGATGCTGGGCTACAACCTCCTCATTTAGGTTCTTCCCAAGGCACAAAGGTGAGGGGAAACGTAGCAGTGACTTTTACTGATAACAGGAGCCCGGCCTCAAGGAGTCCCTTCTCCCCTGGGGTCACGGCCAGGAGGGCGCGTCCGGGATGGGGCGTCGGAGGGGGCGGGGAGGGACCGGTGGGAGCGGGACAGGCCCCTCCGGAGCGGCCACAAAGCAAGGACGTGGCCGCCCGGCCGGCCTTCCGGGGTCCCCGGGCTCTCTCCGCCCTCCGCCCCGCGGCCGGCCGGCCGGGCGGCGCTGTCAGCAGGAACTCCCAGGCGCCCTTCGCGCCCCGACGAGAGACCCAGCAGACGGAGGGCCTTAGGGGGGGGACCGTTCACCCACCTGTCAGGTGGCGGGAAGCGGAAGAATTCGCCCGCCTGCAACTTCCGACAACAACGTTCCTCTCCTTCTGCCAGGACACCGAGGGCGCCGCCGCCGCCTCGGCCACTCCAGGCACACAAAGAGGGCTGGGCGGTGGCCGCTACGGCGAGCGCTTCGGGACAGACGGCTCCACCAGGACGAAGTCGCTCCCAGAAGGAAGGGGTGGAGCCCGGCTGCCGCGGGGAATGGCAGCCCTTCCGCGATGTGCCTGTGTACAGCAGAGGACAAGGAATGAAACAAAGAAGGCCCAGGAGCCCGAAGTGTTTCCGCTTTTCCCAAAACTAAGGCTGTTGCTAATATCTTCGTCCTGGATAAGCAACCTCCCCCTGGCCAACAGGCAAGCACGACTCAGGAAAACTACAAGCCCCAGCGCCAAGAGAAACTTGCTTGGGGCGAGCAATGCATTCTGGGAGCTGTGGTCAATGGTGGTCGAAAGGTACGCTGGGACATGTAGTATTTCCTAGACTTGCGGTTCCCTACTTTGAGGCCTTCTTCTTCCTTCAAAACTCCCACGGGAAGCTTCCAGCGCTTAATGTATTCAGTCTGCTGATCAGCGCTCGTTGTATCTTAAGATCTTGGACTCAACATTGGCTGAATTTTAAGAAGGCTTTTCCAGTGGTGAATCTATACGGGGTGCCCCCACAAAATGTATACACACTTGAACAGCTGATAGCTCAATTTTGAAAATGAAATGCACTTTAATAAACGCTGCCTTTATAATTATTCAAAGACGTATATACATTTTGGGGACAACCTATATATTGCACTGCACATTTTGGTGTAGAATACTTTCTAGGACATATATACCAGTTTTAGGGGGGGGGGGGGGAGCCTAATAGAGATTTCATGTGGGATCTTAGACAAAATTTATAATAAAAATTTTAAATTTTGAAAATGTACTGTAACCCTATTCTGTCAAAAACTGGGAGAAATCGTCTTTAATTAGAAAGCTCCTTGTAAACCTAATTCAGTTTTTTAAAATATATTTTATTTATTTATTTTTTTACAGAGAGGAAAGGAGAGGGGTAGAGAGCTAGAAACATCAATGAGAGAGGAACATCGACCAGCTGCCTCCTGCATACCCCCTACTGGGGATGTGCCTGCAATCAAGGTACATGCCCTTAACCAGAATTGAACTTTGAGTCTGCATCCACTGAGCCAAACTAGTTTCAGCCCTAATTCAATGTTTACTAGTATTTATGATGTACACTTGCTTAGCTGCAGTACTACAGTTCTGAAAATTAATAATAACAATTTCTAATTTCTATAGTTCCTCTTAAATTTCATCATGCACACATGGACTGACCATTCATTTGAGACTACAAATAAAATTAATACTGTTATAAAAATAATAATTATAAAATAAATAATATATTAATCAGAATATCATACAATTCTCCTATACTTTGCTGCAGTATACTTAGTAGTATTGTGGTTTTCTTTCAAAGAATTTTTGAAAAGAAAGAATTTATACTATTGAAATCTAAACCAAGCAAAAATGGTTTCCATAGTTGTAGGTTTTTTAACATACAAAGAAAACAAAATTTATGCATTGATACACATTTCTTAAATTTTTATTTACATAATTTTTTAAAAATATATTTTATTGATTTTTTACAGAGAGGAAGGGAGAGACATAGAGAGCTAGAAACGTCAATGAGAGAGAAACATCGACCAACTGCCTCTTGCATCCTGCAACCAAGATATATGCCCTTGACCGAAATCGAACCCGGGACTTTTCAGTCTGCAGACCAATGCTTTACCACTGAACCAAACCGGTTTTGGCTTTATTTACATAATTTAAAGCATTATTTGGCAAGAATGAAAGTCAACACCAAAGCAATGTCATATTCAAGATTGTCAAGTCTCTAAAAAGTCATTTGGGCTCTAGCTGGCTTGGCTCAGTGTATAGAGCATTAGCCTGCAGACTGACTGGTCCCAGGTTTGATTCTAGCCATGGGCACATGCCTGAGTTGCGGGCTCGATCCCCAGTAGGGGGCGTGCAGGAGGTAGCCAATCAGTGATTCTCTCATTGATGTTTCTCTTTCTCTCTCTCCCTTCTCCCTTCCTCTCTGAAATCAATAAAAAGCAATATATTTTTAAAAAAGAAGTATCCTCTTTCGTGTGTGTGTGTGTGTGTGTGTGTGTGTGTATATATATATATATATATATATATATATATATATATATATTCAATTAAGAAGTTAAGAAGCAGCAACATATTAAAATGTGGCACTTGAAAATAAGCAAACATAAACACCATCTGAAAGATGTAGCACACACCCAAATTGGAAAAGGAAGGAATGTTAAAGGGTTAGAAATGTGTTGTTACCCAGTGTTCCAGGATCTCAAAATATTGAAGGAACTCCAGTAAGTCTTTCCCAAGTAATCAACTCTTGAATTTATAATAGTTTGTTGAAAACCTTGTGATATGCACCTCATCATACAAAGTCTATGATGACATTATATTGTAAAAAAGAAAGTTGTAGCTGCATGTATGATGAAGTTTCTGGTAACTATACTTTTAGCATCCTTCTATAAATGTCACTCATTTGGTTATAACTTTGCAAAATGAAATGTACTAAAAAGTTCATTCCTGTGAGCTTTTTACTAGGCAAAGAGCACATTTCCTAGCATCTCTTCTTAAATATTATAGGTCTTCTAAAGCCCCGGTACACAAGATTTGTGCATGGAGGGGGAGCTGTCCCTCAGCCCTGCCTGCACCCTCTCCAATCTGGGGCATCCCTCTCATAATCCAGGACTGCTGGCTCCCAACCACTTGCCTTTCTAATTGCCTCTAACCGCTTTTACCTGCCAGCCTAATCACCCCCTAACCACACCCCTGCCAGCCTGATCTATGTGTACTGCTCCCCTGCTGGCACAATTGCTTTTAACTGACTCCCCTGCTGGCCTGGTCACCCCTAACTTCCTTCTCTTGCCAACCTGATCGCCCCCAACTTCCCTCCCCTGCAGGCCTGGTTCCTCCAACTTCCCTCCCCTACAGGCCTGGTTGCCCCAACTGCCCTCCCCTGCCAGCCTAGTCACCCCTAACTGCTCTCCCCTGCTGGCTTGATCTCCCACAACTTCCATCCCCTGCTGTGCATTTTGTGTCCACATGGGGGGCAGCCATCTTGTGTGTTGGAGTGACATTCAATTTGCATATTACCTCTTTATTAGATAGGATTATTTTTTCTATATGTTAATCAGAGGACCTCAAAGATTTTACTTTGGTTGCCTAAATTCATGAGTTTCCATCACCTTACCTTTGAGATCTGGAGATTGCTCATCTTTTTCCTGTTAACAGCTCTTTCCAAGTCACTGGCATTTTTAATTTTTTTTCTAAATACTTCTACTTCACCTTCAGGAAACGTACTTGATCTTGTCTTTTAGAAATGTTGACACAACTATTTTCTTCCAACTTTGGGAGCTATCTTAACTTTCCCATTTCTTCTCATGCCTAAGGGAAGCTCCCTAAGACACTCCCTCACTCCAAGGAATGTTCATAGGCTGACCAGCAAATCTGCCCTCATAATTTAACAGCATTACTTTTCTATTATCCTTGCTATTGTTCTAGTCTGTATTTTTCCCTTTGGAGTGTTTACTGCATTGTTAACTTAATATAGCTTTTTCCCCCCCC